GACCCAGCTATCCAGTGGGATCTGTAATTCAGAGACAGAAAACATTATTGGTACTTAGACTGTCCCTGATTCTGTTCTTGGTATCTCCAAGAAAAGATCTGAAAGCAGTTGATGAGATCCTTATTTAGATGCCACAAAGCAGGGGTGAAATCCAGCAGGTTCTGACAGGTTCTGGAGAACCGGTAGCGGAAATTTTGAGCAGTTCAGAGAACCAGTAGCGGAAATTTTGAGTAGTTCGGAGAACCGGCAAATACCACCTCTGGTATGGAGCTGGCTGGCCCCAGAGTGGGGTGGGAATGGAGATTTTATAATATCCTTCCCCTGGAGTGGGGTGGGAATTGAAATTTTGCAGTATCCTTCCCCTAGAGTGGGGTGGGAATGGAGATTTTGCATATCCTTCTCCTGTCACGCTCACCAAGCCATGCCCACCAAACCCACCAAGCCACTCCCACAGAACCAGCAGTAAAAAAAAATGGATTTCACCACTGCCACAAAGCCATTTCCAGTGTGCAAAAAAATAACAATAACAGAATTGGAAGGTCATCTAGTCCAACTCCCTGCTCTCGCAAGAGACCTATACTATTTCTGATAAATGGCTGACCAGTCTCTCTTTAAAAGCCTTCAATGATGAGGCACACACATCTTCCAAAGACAATTTCTTCCACTGGTTAATTGTTCTCGCTGTTAGGAGTTTTCTCCTTAGTTCTAGGTTACTTCTGTCCTTGGTTAGCTTCCATCTATTGTTTCTTGTCCTGCCTACAGGTGCTTTGGTAAATAAGTTGGCCCCCTTTTCCTTGTGGCAACATAGATGGTGCTGGGTGAACCAAAGATTAGATTTATTAATTTCATAACATGGCTTTTGGGATATGCCAATCCCCAAATTTATCTGGGTTGTTGATCAAGGCCAAATTAAATTTCAAGGCAAGCATGAATGTCCAAATTATTGTTTGTAGCATTGATATGCAGCTTTGCCTCTGATGGAAGAGAATATTTATAGATCAAGGAACTATAAAGTTTGGTTGTTTCATTAGGTAACATTTAGGTAATAAACTAGGTAATATCATTAGTGCCAAAAGAGAGAGAGGCTGGTTCTCATTTTATATACTAATGGCTTGCCCTGTCAATGTGGGTGGGAGGAGTGATCTTGGTGTTTCCTTGATTAGGTTGTTGTTTACTGTTAGCTTGTTTGTCTGACTTGGTAGTATTTTGATTGGGGCATGGTTCACTTCTTGATTGTTGGTCTAGTGTTAATCTAGTGTTATTCTCTGCTTACTGGGTATTGATTGACAGTGAGGAGGGATTTGGTTCTTTTTCTTTCCTTTTTGGCTTTTAGTGGTATCTTTTGCAGATGTATTTTGTAAATGATTGTGTGCAGAGGTGGGTTTCAGCAGGTTCTGGCCAGTTCCGGAGAACTGGTAGCGGAAATTCTGACCGGCCCGTCCCCATCTATTCTCTGTCTCCCAAGCCCCAGCTGATTGGGAGGAAATGGGGATTTTGCAGTAATCTTCCCCTGGATTGGGGATGGAATGGAGATTTTTCACTATCCTTCCCCTGCCACGTCCACCAACCCATGCCCACCAACCCATGGCACACCCACCAAGCCACACCCACAGAACCAGTAGTAAAATTTTTTGAAACCCATCACTGATTGTGTGTAGATGTTGTTTACCTATATGTGAATGTTGATGGTCGATTTGTCTGAGCTTTGTCTGTCTTTCTGTGTATTCCTGATTACAATATCAGTGGATGGTGATTAGACATTTAAATGTTCTTCTTGGAACTTTTTTTTTAAAAGCAAAGGGGATCTGATATCTTTCTGGCATTTGCCCTTATATCTTTTTTTTTCATGTGTTTTATTTTACATGGATGATAAAATATTGCTGACCCTGTTTGTTCAAATTCCAGCCATTCACAATTAAATGGGGGGGGGGGGGAGCCACTGGTGAATGCTTGTTTTCTTGACCATATGATATTCCTATTCTTATAGTTAGAGTGTGTTTTTTTCCCCAGCAGAAGAAAAATCAGCCAGTATGATGCTGTCCAGGCTCAGTCATCACATCTGGACGAATGTAAGAGTCAAGTAACTTTGAAACTTGACAGAGAAAAACCAGAATGTAAGACACCCATGCCAGCTATTAAAAAAGAGGAAGAGTCTGAACAAATAAGAGTAGGTGGCATCTTTTTGGTTGTAATTATACTGGAACCCTCAGTTCACTTTTTCAAATGAGAATATAGAACAGATAATTGGGGAATGTTCTTGATATGATTGCAGTTTGGTTTAAAGGAGAAAAACAAAATGACTTGAGTGGAAAATATGATCCCCAAAGCAAGTGGCTTTGTTTATTTTTTTAAAATAAAACTATTATGCAAAATTTTGGATGCTCTTACTACTAGAAACCACAGATGTGTTTACCTATGTGTGTATAGAGAATGTTTTTAAAGAGACCTTCTCTGCTTCCTATTTTCACTATTCTCCCTAAACCATTTTTTTAAGGTAGCCATTGTTATCTCCAACTAGAATTGAAATGGAATAATCTGTGAATGAAATGTGAACATATGGTTGCATACCTAGCTGCCAATAGGAAAAAAAACCCTGTTTGTTAAAGAATATCTAAGATCAGATATCTTATTGGACTGGCAGATCATAGAACTGAATGATGATTTTACTAAGTCAGTTAATCTTGTCTGCTTTGTTTATAGGCCAGTACTGTCTGATAGGAGATATTTACAAATGCCAAAAAATAATGACTGAAACCGCCATCATATCTTCTGAGATTTTGGAAGAAGTTCCTTCCAGATTTCATGAGACTGTTTCTTCCAAAATCTTGTGAATGTCAAGATGTATATCTAAAATCTGTTACAATCTGTTACAATCTGTGTTGCTATGTATGCTCCTTAGAAGTTAGTTGGAATTTCACCAGGATATTGCTTAGTGTTGATTTCTCTGTTGTCTGGCGTTTTATAGCTCTTTATATGTACACATGCAGTGATCAGATGGAGAAGGTAATGAGGAGCAGCCAAGTAACCTTAAAAAAGATCTATTTATCAGAATTTTTCCTCTTGCTGTTCTATGTTTGGTGGTGAAAGATAGCAATCACATTGCATTTTCAAAAGAATTTCCTTGCCAGATCTTGGGGTAAAGTTAATGTTTAATTGATTCCAGCCTTCCATCATTCCAGTTAGCATCATCTTTAATATGTGTCCCTGCTGATTAGGTCAGATGATAGAATTTATATTCCAATTCATCTGATAGACAAAAGGTTGGAATTAATTGGTCTTATTGCAATAATTATCACTGGAAGACCTGAAGGACAGGTCGTCATGGAGAAGTTTTACCTTCATGGTTTCCAAGAGTTGACACTGACTTTTGGCACATAATCAATTGCAATAATTACAAATCGACAAACTCTCAAGTTCCCATTTTTCTCTCTTTGTGTTGTTACTCAGCTCTTTTTACATCATTTGACCTGGTGGATGGGGTGGTGGTTCAATAATATCCTTTAGGTGCCTGCCTAATCTCTCCCAGTTTGACATCTCCCTGGGATGCCCATCCTCCATAATTTCCCATCTGATATGGATAAAGACTAAGCTCTAATGTAAATACTCAGTCTTCTACCAGAAATGAATCAGTCTTTTTTTCTCCTTGAAAACAATATCTGCTTTCTAATAACAGATGTTGAAGAAGCAAATTGCAGGCCTACAGGAGGAGTTCAGGAGAAACAAGATTCACTGGCAAGCTGCCCACAGCAGGCTAAGGAGTCAAGTGGAAGCACTGACCAAACAGAACCTGGATCTCCAGGATGAGCTTGGAATGTCTGAGCATCAGAAGATGGAAACCCAGAGAAAACATGGAGCAGTGGATATTATTAACAGAAGATCAGAAACACCGGTACTATAAGCAAGACTTTTATTTAAGTTTATTTATTTATTTATTTATTTATTTATTAAATTTAATGCCTTGGCTTCCTTTCCCATGCTTTCTTCAGAGTAAAGACTTGGGGTCTTGCAAAATATTCCATTGGTAACAGATTATTCTCTAATACAATGCTGTTCAGACCAGCATTCAGAACTCCTCCTATTCTTTGCAATTCATTTAACCAGCATATCAATTCATAGGGAGGTATTAGTGGTATTGGAACAGGTAACAAACTGGGATTTATTTTTATTTTTTTTCATTAGTGTGCAAGGAAAATAAATCTCCTGGAAGTTGGCCCTTTCTTTTCTCACCAAGGAGTTGACTGCTCTATGGGTGACCTTCGTTTTGTTTGATTTTTTTTTCAAATTCAGGTGTACTGAGAATCACTACTGGCTGTATTTCACTCACTTAAACCATTTTTTAAAATTGTTATTGTATCATTTCCTTCCTAGCTTTCTGCTGCTATCTTGAGAGGGACATCCTCGCAAGAGTCTGTAGAAGAGAGACTGTTGCAAGATAAGCACAAGAGTCTCGTTGATGTCCATGTGAGAAGGAAAATATCATTTGATGATTTGGCTCATAATGATAGGAATGCCCAGGTAAGTCATGTAATCATGATGATGGACAAAAAAAGAAAGAAAGAAAGAAAATGCTTTCACCATATAAAGAACAGGCACAATTTGTATAGTACTGTAGCTGCACTATGGAGGCCGGAGCTCAAATTCCCATATGAAATGAAAGGTGATATGGTCCAAGGGTTAATATTCTAAGCTAGATGTAACAAGATCCTAATTTCAATCTGGTTGCTTCTATGACCTCAGTAGGTATCCTTGGGTATATGTTTCCCTCTTAGCTTTGGTCCAACCAACTTTAATATGGCTGGGCTGTAATTCACAACGGCAACTCTGGCTGTAGTTTTGGAAATTGTCAGGATACTTGGATGGCATAAGGTAGAATGTTTACTTCACCAATTATAAAGCTAACAGTGGGCGCTGTTGATTAAGGGCACTGAACTCTAAAAACACAATATAAATAGATGGTCATCACTATCATCATGGATTTCTATTACATATCTCATCTGTTCTTTCTTAGTTGCATCTTTTTCTAATAGGGACCACAAAAGGTAACTTCTTGTAAAAACTTATAATGTCTTTTAGGCAACCAGAAGGCCATTGCTGAGGTCTGAGTCGCTGAAAACAGCAAGAGGAGAACAAAGAACAAGGAACCCATCTAAAATGCTGAATAATAGAAGTATAACCCCTACTGGTCAGAGGACACCCCATCGAACACCATTTCAAATTCAGAAAGTAATGTGGATTCCCTGAATGGACCTTTTCTTTTAGTATTTCTATGTAACCCAACTTGCCAAATCTCTGTGCAATGTGAAACTTTGTAAGTAGGTAGGTAGGTAGGTAGGTAGGTAGGTAGGTAGGTAGGAAGGAAGGAAGGAAGGAAGGAAGGAAGGAAGGAAGGAAGGAAGGAAGGAAGGAAGGAGGAACCCAGCATAGGAGAGAAATTTAGATAAAGCTTGTGTATTTTTCCTAGGCAAAGTACCAGTTCAGAGTAATACCTTGTGAGTGTAGTACAGCAGTCTAAGGTGCTTGATTATTCATGTCTTAGTAGTTGTATCATCTGTGAACTATCTGTGAACATGTCCCAGATTACCACCTTTTCCATGCAAAAAGCAATTAGAAAACAATCTTGAACTCTTGAACATAGACAGAAAACATGCTATAAGCCCATCACTGCTACTCCAGTTGATCTGTTCAAGAGTTTAAGGAATGTAAATTGAAGGAGTGCTGCACCCTGAATTACCATCAGTAATTCAACAACAAAACAAAGCAAAAAGAAAGAAAGAAAGAAAGAAAGAAAGAAAGAAAGAAAGAAAGAAAGAAAAGAAGTCACTTCTACCTCAGCTGAAGAGGAAATGAAATAAATTTAGTACTTCTCTCCCTTTTTATCTTTATAGTTTCTGTCACGTATTTGCTTATTTTCAAAATACTAAAGTGGGATGTTTTCTGAATGTTGAAATTCATTTTCCTTTTGCATTTTGCAACCTGTTGTGGTGATAGCATGGTATAAATGCTTGCAACCAAGCATTTTTCTCAGTATCTGTAACCCTGGTTCTATGTTGTGGTGAGGTCTGGAGTACAGGAAATGCATCCTTAGCGATGCCTACAATAAGAGGCTGGTGGTCTTGGTCCAGTCTGGAGTGGGCAGTTTGAGTCCAAGACGAAGGCATGAGGTGATGGAAGAGTTCTCTGCAAGTGTGAAAACCCGAAACTCAACAGAGTTTGAGCTCTGAAAAGCAAATGCCAACTTAGTTGTTCTTTCAGCTAAAACCATTCAGACTTAATGTTCTTGAAGGATGAGTTCCAAAGTAATGTTGTGGTCCACCAGCACCCTGTGGAGCTGGAGTGGAGTCGGACAGTGAGGAGGCTGGGGAGGACCATGGGCCAGTCCTGGAGTCTGGGGAAGGCCCAGACGAGGGCTCTGCGTCGGAGGCAGAGATGAGGCTAGGGCCATCTGGGAGTGATGCGTGGACTCCGGAGCCTCCAGAGTCGGACAGCAGAAAGGCAGAGGAACAGGAGAAGCTGAGAATGAAGTAATTCTCAGAAGTTCTAATAAAATATGTTTGTTTAGGTCTGATTGTGTCTGGTAATAACTACTTCGGCCTAGGTGACAAGTAAGCAATTCTCTGTGCTATTGCCAAATATGATACTTTAGAAGTCCTTAGCTGTATGGGAAGTTCTCTTTTGCACTCAAACACAAGTAGAACACCTCACCGTCTTTAAGATTTTACTGTTCAGACTATTTTGATTAGCAGTCGAATGTACAAAGATTGCTTGTCTACAGATGTTGAATGTAACACCTGCAGACAAGCAATCTTTGTACATTCGACTGTTAATCAAAATAGCTAAGGACTTCCCTCCTATTTCCGTAGCACTTCTGCATGAGTATTCTCCCTGCTGTCTTCCTTGTTGTAGACCACCCTCCCCTTGAGTTAACCAGTGCCCTTCCTCTGGCACAAAAGTGTCCCATCCCAATTTTGGCTCTTCCCTCGCCATATTTTCTATTAAAAAGCTGAGAAAAACATTGGCCTGCCAAGCTGCTGGGCGACAGCACTTAGGGAGGCCAGAGTGAAGACACCATGGTGTCACCATGCCAGGAAGACAGGAAAGGGTAAAACTAAGTAGCAGAAGTAGGTTAAGGCAAGAGTTCTAGCCAATGGATTCACCTGCCTTGAAGATCAAGAGGAAACCTGGTAAAATTGCATTTGTGCCATTTTCTCTAGTACCGAAGCTCTCTACAGAAGCCCCAGGGGCATGGTGCAAGTCTCTGATTGGCACAGAATGTTGTAGAAAGGTATTTAGGACCTGTTTTTTGGGTCCTCAATGTAGAGAGAAATGGCATGAAAGTCTATCTATTTGGAATATATCCTCAGGTTGCCTATAAAATCCCCAATATCTCTATCACTAGAACAGTTTTATCCTATCTGATAACATAGTTGAGAAATAACTTTTAAGAACTGAATATTCTGGCTGGGACTTTGAGAAGATATCATACTGAATAAGGCTTATATAGAGTAATAACTGCTGTTGTTAATTGTGTGTCAGTCTTGTTTTCACTGAAAGTGGGCAACTCTTTATACATCTAGACCTCTCAAGTATTGGTGTGTGCACAAATATTTTTATTCATTAAAAAGTTGCCTCTTTGCCGTAGGCCTCACCTCAGTTGACTTCTAACCAGCAACAAAACCATGGAAGAGAAACACCCATATTGGAGTCTAACCAGGGCATAGACAAGAATACCGCTCCATTTTTGTATGTAAAAGGTAAAATATGTGTAAAAAGAAGGCATCTAGTAACTGAAGAATGGATTCCTTTTGCTAGCTAAGAGCAACAGACTGTATTGATTTAAAAATGGCTTCTGAATGATCTGTGCTTTACTGTGTAAGTCACTAACCATTTTAACCTATTGGTATTTGAATTCCTTTAGGCATATGCTCTTCCACCTCAGGTGCTTCAGAAGATGCAGTGTTTTCAAACAGTCTAAATGCTGACATTTTAAACTCCACACGTATGACTGATGTGGAAATTCAGGTATGTTTTCATACAAATATCAAATATCAAATATCTGTAAACACAGATAATGTTTCTATAGTTCTGCTTTAAAATAAAAGCCTCCAAAACCAAGGGAGAAGCTTCTTTTCCTCAAAAGTCAAATCGAGGTGGCTTTCTCATCACCTCAAGTAATGAGAAGAGATATTAATTGCTTAATATTTCTGCAGATGATGGAAGATCTTGGCCATAAAAGGACTCAGAAGTTTAAGGCCTCTAGGCCAAAGAGCGTCCCTGCAAATGGAAGGAAAACACCTGAAGGCAATCTTTCTACATTTGAGAAGACTGAAAGAAAGGTTTGGGCCCCTAAAGATTCATCTCTTATACTTCCTTCTTATGTATGTATTGTCAAATCAGCATCTTTCTTGGGATGATAAGATATATTTGGAATCTTGTGGAATCTCTGATGAATGGCTACTATTGGAGGATTGCCTCTGTTCCGTGGCCGACATGGTGATTATCACCAGTTTAAGAAGAAAGGATTTCCTACTTGTTATCTTTCTTCGCTATCAGCCATGCTATAAGTATACATTTCCACTTGCTCAACAGGCTTAAGATATTTTGTTCAAAATTGACTTGATTCCTACATTAAACTGCTATTAACTATGATTTTAGTAATTTGATTTCACAATTTGTGAAAGAATTTTGCCTGTCACAATGGTATGAAAGTGGTATCTTACTATATTTAGTCTTCTCTAAATTGGAGTGAGTAGCAAAATAATCCTAGGATGAACAGATAATTTTTCTTCAAGGTTAATGTTTCTCAAGATGAATTTTATTTTCCCTGCTGTTTTTGTTTTTTTACACTGCCACCATAAATACTAAGATGCTTCTTGTGGAATAACAATTCCATACCCAATGAGTAGAGGAGGCCAGCAGGTACAAAGTTTACTCTGTAATAGTAGGTAAATTAGCCCTGGAAGAGCAGATGGTTACAGTCTCCATAAACATACATGGCGTGATGTGTCCATTTCTTGTTGTTTTTGCCTGAAGTGGATAAACTTTATAGTTTTTGCATACAATCTTTTAAAATGCTGATAAGTACTAATTTATTGCTTTGATTTTCTTCTCTGTTTAGAGCAGTGGTGAAATCCAAATATTTTTACTACCAGTTCTGTGGGCATGGCTTAGTGGGCATGGTGTGCCTTGGTGGGCATGGCAGGGGAAGGATACTGCAAAATCCCCATTCCCACCCCACTCCAGGGGAAGGATACTGCAAAATCCCCATTTCCTCCCCACTCCTGGGGGAAGGATATTGCAAAATCTCCATTCCCACCTCACTCTGGGGCCAGCCAGAGGTGGTATTTGCTAGTTCTTCGAACTGCTCAAAATTTCCGCTACCAGTTCTCCAGAACCTGTCAGAACCTGCTGGATTTCACCCCTGGTTTAGAGATAATAGATAATTTTCCTTGAAGGCTTTTCTTTTTCTTTTTGTATGTTCAATAAACACCAGGGTAATTCTGCTCTATTTTTGAGATTTTTTTTTTTTCTTACAAGATTCCTTGAATTATCATGTCTTCTAACATACTTAAATTCTCCCAAATTGCAGAAAAATCTGTGTTGGCCACTAGAAGAAATAATTTTTCTGTGTTAGTCTTTGCCTATGCTTTATTGCCTTATTCCTCCCCTTTCTTTTAGGGAAATACCTTGTTCTTTGGTTATTGTCTTTGGTAAAATAAATTATTCTTCCCAAATTCATTCATGTTTAATTGCTGATGGTTTTTTCCCCTCAAAGCCAACATTACTCAGAAGAGCATCATCCTGTACTGAAGACAAGGTTGGTGGAGAAGTGAAAGAAGAAATTAAGTATCTAGATGGAAAGGTAAGATAGTTTAGCTATATATAAAATCAACCAATGTTGTACATATCCTACATTAAATAAGAAATATGAACTTTGGAAAGCAGTATCTGCTTGAACACATGGTTCTCTCTCTCTCTCTCTCTCTTTCTCTCTCTCTCTCTCTCTCTCTCACACACACACACACACATATACACACACACACACAAACAGGAAAACAGGAACACACATCCACACAAAGACACACGCACACAAACCTGCTCAAGACATACTATGTACTGATATCCTAAATCATGGTTAACTGGACATAGACTACAAGGAGACATGTCACCTTTCTTCACTGCTACCATATTTGTGTCTGTTTGATATTAACATCAGTTGTTGTTCTGTTTCAACTATGAAACCAAGGGGACTAGTGAAGTTGATTAGTGTCAGTGTAAATCACAGACTGAACTGTGAATTCGGTGTGTATGGTATTCCCAAAGGTGCTTTCAAAAAAGATAACTGGGCTTTCTTGATTTTTCTTGACAACATTGCACTCCTCATCCAAGCAGCTTCTTCAGTTCTAATTAACCGGTGGGAGGTGGAAAGGATCAAGATCAAATCAAGAAAGTCCAGTTGCCTTTTTGAAAGCACCTTTGGGACAACCATGACCTGGATGAGAACCACCATAGATGTGTGTATGGTATATATGTGTGCATGTGTATCATTCATTTTCTGTCTTCATTGTCCCTGTTTCAAATGTCTCCCCTGACTTCGCTCCTATATTGCTTTTTGACTTTTAAGGTGGTTCAAAATTGTCCCAGCCATTTTGAGCTGCAAACAAAGAAAAGCAATGTGTGTACTTGTACATATGTAAGGTGGATCAGGGAAGCAGCAGGTAAAGAAAAGATAAGATAAAAGATGTAGGAACTTTGGGTATCATGGTTAGCTTCAGAACAATGCAGGTTCAATTTGCTGGATAAAATGGAACTGCCTTTCATACATATCCTTAATTTGAGGTTGTGCATGCTGGGCAGTTAGTTTCATTTGGTACATGTTTTGAAAAATTTATTTGCTGGAAATGTGTTCCCCATCTGCTCTCCGAGAGGTCTTGCATAATCTCCTAGGTGCTCCTTCTTCCCATACAGCTGGTTTGGGTACGATGGGGGTCACATAATGTGAAAATTAAACTATTACAGGCATATGTCTGTGCCATATGGCAATTCATCAATGTGCAAATTGGAGCACCCCATGCAGGACTGACAGTCTCCAAGGAGATGCTGATTATGTTGACTTGTAGAGAAATTGAATTTATAATGCAATTTGTGCCAGACGTGAATCTCATAAAAACAGCATTTGTGACTGGCAGCAGGATTCTTTCTGTCTTAAAGAAAACTTGAGATTGCTGCTCGTACATTTATTGAAAGATATTGAAATTTAGCTCTGCAGAATGTTGCATGTTACATCTGTCCCAAAAACAGTTGGAGCAAGGAAGGAAATGCAGCTATAACACAGGGCAAGCGTCAAAAAAGCAGCTCAAACACAGTATAACAGGAATAACAGGTCAAATATAGCCCTTTATACAGAGCTTTATAATAAAAGTTACATATAAATAATTATGATTATAGAGCCTAATGGGGTTGCAAATCTATATTGGCTTTATAATAACATATATATAGCCCCTATTATTGAGAAGGAAGGACTCACTGGAGGCTGGGAAAGATTGAGGGCAAAAGAAGGGGATGACAGAGAATGAGGTAGCTGGATGGAGTCACTGAAGTAGTCGCATGAGCTTAAATGGACTCCAGAGGATGGTAGAGGACAGGAAGGCCTGGAGGAACATTGTCCATGGGGTCACGATGGGTTGGACACAACTTCGCAACTAACAACAACAGCCACTATTGAGTTTGTGGGAGTGTAGCCAATGTAGATGCTGAGATATTATTAATATTATCTCTTTTATTCATTAAACATGAAACTCAGTCAACTGATCATTTAAAAATGTATCACAAATACAATTGACTGGTGCTAATGGTTGATACGGGTTGCTGTCAGCATCCTAGGTATCAACCAGGTACCTTCTTAAAATATATGATGTTCCAAGTAGCACAGTTTTTTGCAGTTCCGCTGGTGTTATTTCAGGAAACTGCAATTTCTTGATGTGTTTTGTAAAATTCTTGGACATGGAACCAAGTGCCCCAGTAACAATGGGTATCAATGTTACATGTTTCGATGGCCAAGTCGATCCTATTATTATTATTATTATTATTATTATTATTATTATTATTATTGATTTGTTTAGATATTTTCTATATATATTTACTATATATAGTTGCACATCTTCAAGAGTGACTCTAGGGAGCACATAGAGTATTAAAACAGATAAGCCCCGCTAACCCTGTAACAACATAATATACATGATAAAGCATCCACAATAATAATCCAAAATAGTAATAACCATCATCCATTTTCAATCAATAAGGACCAAAGGAAGCCACCAACAGGGCAGGTTTAGCCTCATGACTCAAGGGGCTGAGGGAATATCCAGGTCTTTAAGCCCCCTCCCCACCACCCCTTTTCTTGCTTTATAGAAATACTACATACATATTCATAGGGAAATATTCAATGAGTTTGAGTTGAGTACTGCAAGATTTGAGTGAAGATCCTTGAGCAGGTAAGCAACCTAGCTTCCATTCTCACAAGAATCTCTGGAGGTGGGTGGCATATAAATTTAATAAATTATGATGAAAAATACGGTCACTTTCATGAAGATGGATTTCTTTCTCTTTCTTTAATCCTTTTGCAAAGGGAAGATGTATCCATGATAGAAATACTAGCAACTTTTTCCCACCCAGAAGTGTAATTACAAAATATGTAAAATATGTCTAAAAAGGGTTCCAACATCATTTGATATTTTTTAAAAAGTTGGGGCTAAAAAAAGATATCCCGGTTTGAGCGGAATTCCAGCTGCTTCCTGCTGCCATATTTTGATTGGTCCAGTGGTAGAATTAAATTTTTTTTACTACCGGTTCTGTGGGCATGGCTTGATGGACATGGTGTGGCTTGGTGGGCATGGCAGGGGAAGGATACTGCAAAATCTCAATTCCCACCCCACTTCAGGGGAAGTATATTGCAAAATCTCTATTCCCACACCACACTGGGGCCAGCCAGAGGTGGTATTTGCCGGTTCTCTGAACTACTCAAAATTTGATTGCAGCATAGAAATACTGTAAATGAATGAAAGAGAATTTACATATGAAAGAGAATTTACAAATGAATTTATGAACATGTGAATAAAGAGATAAACTTATCCTATCTTGCTTTTTCCATTGCTTGGGTGGAACTATTTAACAGCCAAATTTGTTTTCAAGAGACCCAGACACTACCTTCTAGTGGAGACATGATCTTTTAAGAGTGATGTTTGTTACATTGTGGCTGTCCATACAAGAAAGGATGCATGTGTATTCTCAAACATCTGGTCTTTGCTTCAAAGGTGAAGCAGCTGTTCACCGATGGACGCAGAATTACTATATACCCCAATGGAACAAAGATGGAAATTAGTACTGATAAAAAGACAGCTACTGTTACTTTTTACAATGGCGATATTAAAAAGATCTTAGCAGATCAGACAGTGGTGAGTATGTTTGTTTCTATCTCTCTGCTTTAAAGCTATAGCTTTAGCAATGGACTGCTGAATTCTGAATGATTAATCTTGAGAAGAAAGGAGGTAAATGTTGTGGCCCGCCAGCGGCCTGTGCAGATTGTGGCTGATTCTGTCTTTGTGTGTGCTGCGTTCTTTGGGGTCCGTAGCTGGGGCAGAACAGTAAATAGGAGGCCGTGTCATTTTCTTGCAGCAAAATATGAACACATTTATTTCAGCATATAATTCCATAGTCTGCCCATTTCAATAATGCATAAGGCTAAAACATCTGAAGAATGGTTGCAGGAATTGGGCATGTCTAGTTTAATGAAAAGAAGGACTAGGGGCAGGGGTGAAATCCAGGAGGTTCTGACAGGTTCTGGAGAACCAGTAGCAGAAATTTTGAGTAGTTCGAAGAACCAGCAAATACCACCTCTGGCTGGCCCCAGAGTGAGGTGGGAATGGAGATTTTGCAGTATCCTTCCCTTGGATTAGGGTGGGAATGGAAATTTTGCAGTATCCTTCCCCTGCCACACCACGCCCACCAAGCCACGTCCACAGAATTGGTAGTAAAAAAATTTGGATTTCACCACTGACTGGGGTGACATAATAGCAGTGTTCCAATATCTAAGGGATTGCCACAAAGAAGAGGGAGTCAAACTATTCTCCAAAGTACTTGAAGAGGACAAGAAGCAATAGATTGAAATTAATCAAGAAGAGAACCAACCTAAAACTAAGGAGAAATTTCCTGACAGAAACAATTAATTAATTTGCCTCCAGAAGTTGTGGATGCTCCAACAGTGGAGGTTTTAAAGAAGAGATTGGACAACCATTTGTCTGGAGTGATATGGGGTTTCCTCCTTGAGCAGGGGATTGGACTTGAAGACCACTGAGGTCCCTTCCAACTTGTTATTCTATTATAACAAGAGTGTTACAAGAGTATTACTTTGTCATGATCATGGGAAGGATCATAAAGAAATTTAACTGAATGAAACCCTTGAATAACCTTGAATAACAATAAGGGTAGACCAATTTCAGGCTTCCAGAATGTGTTATTTATTTATTTATTTAATATCAAGCTGGAGCTTAGTGCAAGAGTCAAATAATTAAAATTAAGAAATTTCAAAAACCAGTAGCCCAATTTCTTTTGATTAGCAGACCTGAATGCAACTCATAGCATTTCCACATTTGCCAATCTATTTGGCATTCTGTAAGTTTTTTTTAAAAAAAAAATTAGGTTAGGGCAAGTAGTCCTCATTTCATTACCATAATTGGGACTGGCAATTCCATTCCTAAGCAACACAGTCATTAAGTGAGACATCACATGACTGCGGTGCAATTTTATTGCTGGCTTCTCCACTGTTTCTACTTGTCAGAAGTTGGCTCTGAAATCTGCAAATAGCGATCATATGACTGCGGAACACTACGACGGTCATAAACACCCATTGGTTTCAAAATGCCGGAATCTCGCTCACATGACCATGGGGACCTGCAATGTCATAAGTGCGAGGACCAGTCATAAAGTTACTTTTTCATTAGATTGGTAACTTTGAACAGTTGCTGAACAGGGCAGTCATTAAGCAAGGACTACCTGTATAATGTTTGAGTCAGGGTCACTTTATGAGCACTATTGTTAAGTCCTTTAAAATAGGAAATCCCTGCTGATTTGTTTTAAACAATCCAGTGATCTGCTGCTAGCATCAACTCAACCTCCGTCCGGGTCCTCTTTGCTGTACAAACCTTCAGTCTTCCCAGAGTGCCTGAAGCAGTGATAGGTTGCCCCCGGTTAGCACCAGTTCTATAGAACCGGTAGTAAAACCGGCGGGAGGCTCCGTCCACTGACCCGGACGTCATCAAAACGCTTCTGCGCATGCGCATGTGAGCAAAGCAAGCGCGTTCACAGCCCCGCTGTGAACCGGTAGTAAAGATAAATAGAACTCACCCCTGGCCTGAACATATATTTAAAAATGGAATTTCAGAATTTCAGACATCAGCCCTACAGGGGTGGATTTCAAAACCCGTCACTACCGGTGGGTGCGTGGGCGCTCATGCGTGACGCTTCTGCACATGCACAGAAGCGTCCGGGCGGATGGGCGGAGTCTCCTGCTGCCGCTGCTACCGGTTCGCCCGATCTGGGGTGAACCGGTAGCCAACCCACCACTGCAGTCCTAGCTGCAGACAGTCTGGAGGGCCTGAGGTTGGGAAAATGTTCTTGAGGGATGTGATTATATACAAAGAAATAATTTTAGCAGCTGCGTTTTGATTAGACTGCTGAGGAATACTGGGGTCAGCTGCCCTATTGATATTGTATGTTATGTTTGCATATGCATACAAAGTACTTGAATTGAAAAACATAGTGGTTCCTTCTCTTCCTTCCCCCCCACCCCCAAATATACTGATGTATTAATAAAGGAGAATATTTGTAGCACAGGATTGACATGAGAGGTCCTTGGTACTCCCTGAGCTTACTTGTTTTCTTGCAGACATTTTATTACCCAAACTAGGTAACATCATCAATCCTAGCACTGATGATGTTACCTAATTTGGGTAATGAAACCTCTGCAAGAAAACAAACAAGCTCAGGGAGCACCAAGGACCCCTCACACTGATATATTCATGGGCTACAAACTGATTCAGTGCAGTTTCTTTCCATTCCCAATCTTGACATCCCAATGGAAAAAAAATCAGCACCATTGGATACTAGCCATACAAGTAATGCAGCTAGCTTTTATGTATTACTTTTGTCACAAAGATATTAAATAGAAGGAAAAGTTTTATTTAAAAGACATCTGGAGGAAGAGATGGCATGCAACCAAGATTTGTTCCCTCTTTTTCAGATTTATTACTATGCAGATGCACAGACAAGCAGGACTATTTATCCAGACGGCTTGGAGGTGCTGCAGTTTCCAAATGATCAGATTGGTATGTGATGTTGGTATATTAAGTTTTAAATTAACTTCTTCAGCAATGTTAGGTGGTAGATAATAGATTACTTTTCTCTATGTGTTGGACTACATCTTACATGATCCTAAACTACTTTGGCCATTGGAACTTTACTTCAACACATCTAGAGTTGATAGAGGTAGCAATATAACTTCAGATTAAAAGTTACATGTTTTTGTACCACTTTCTTTATGAAATGGCCACCAAAATAGACCCTGAAGACTTATGTAGACCATGAAACACACTGGCTCAATAGAGGTAACATATTTTTCATATATTATATAAACTTCCTTATTGTCCTTCAGTAGAGATTTCTGGGGCAGTTCACAGTAGACAGATCTGTCTGGAGCAGGAGATATTTAAAAAGTTTGTATTATCAATCTATAGTGATATTCTAGCTGTATTAGAATCAGCATAATTTTCCGAACGTTTATAACTTATTGTATTTAAACAGAAACATCTAAGAGAGAGAGAGAGAGAGAGAGAGAGAGAGAGATGGATAGATACAGATTTTCTGCAGGTTCCTTTTATAGGAAAATAAAAAATTATGACATTATGGCAGAAACTGACATTTTTGTGAGGTGGCACATTGTTTCTTTTGTATGAAGTGAATAATTATTGTCACAACTGCAAAGTAGACAGGTCTGTCTGGAGTAAGATTATAGTTTGCATTATCAATCCTTAGTGATATGCTGGCTATATTAGAATCAGCAGAAATTTACTCATTGTCTCCAGAAAAAGAAAGCACATTTATAAGTCATTATATTTAAACAGAAACATGTCTAACAAATAGCAAAGTTGGAAAGGACATTGGAGATCTTCTAGTCCAACTTCCTGCTCAAACAGAAAACCCAGACAAATGGTTGTCCAATCTCTTCTTAAAAACCTCCAACATTGGAGCCCTCATCTAATGTAGTGTGTGTGTGGGTGTGTGGGTGTGTGTACACACTCAGAGATTTTCTGCAGGTTATTTTATAGGAAAGTAAAAAAGGCATTATGGCAGACACTGGCATTTCTGTGAGGTGGCAGATTGCTTCTTTTATGTGAAGTAAATTATTTATGCATATTGTCATAATTGCAAAGTAAGATATAATATTGTTCTTGAACTTTTCTTGATTTAATATAGGGAACTTCTTTTGATATCTGATGTTAATAGTTATGAGAGTTTCTGTGGTAGCTTTACAGTTGGAAGAAACAATTTAAGAAGTGTGATTGTGAAATAATATTAGGTTGTATTTTTTTCCCCAGTGGAGAATTGCGTTTTACATGGTTACATGCATTATGTATAATAGCTTGCTACTATATTACAACATTGATTTTTTTCCCCTACATATTCTACTCATCTGTTTTCTGTTTGGAAAACAATATATGTAAACTACCTTCCCTTAATTAGGGAGCTGAAGCCTCAGCAGGTTTAGAATTGAAATGGGCCACCATTCCTGCACAGGAAAACTGTTGTAGCCTGCTGTTGTTAGATCACTATATATAATGGCTATCTGTGTATATTTTATTCATAATACATTCATACTGGGAGGATAAGGGCAATTTGGTTTACAAGGAATTTTGAATTATGCCCTTGTTAACAGAAAAGTATCATCCTGATGGTACTGAAGAGATCATCTTTCCGAACCAGACAGTGAAACGTCGCTATGGTGGAGGTTTTGAGGAAACTATTTTCCCAGATGGCACAGTGGTTAAAGTAGAAAAGTAAGTAATTACAGAGATATAGACTGGACACAGAAGACAATGGTACTGACTTACCATAAGTCAACATATCAGTTTCTTTGTCAGGAACTATTAAAAGGGAGCAGATCTTCAGTAGCTTTTTCTGCTGCAAGATTTGTGAGTCCTGACTAGACCAAACTATAGATAGTCCTCAACGTATGACTGAAATTGAGCCTTCCCTCAATTGCAGTTGTAAGTCGTGACAGTCAAAAAGCGGGTCACCGCATAACTGGATCCAATTTTATGGCTTTTTTTTATGGTGGTTGAGAAATGAATGTGGACATTGGTAAGCAAATCCACTGTTTGTTATGGGGTATTTTTTGCTGGAAATTGGAAGCAAATGGTACTTTCTGGCAAAAACGTTCTAAATCACAGTCATGTGATCACAGGGCTCTGCAAATGGCTTTTTAAATGCAGGCTAATTGCTGAGTGCCCAAAATGCAGTCACATGATCTCAGGGAGACGATGTCAGAATTTCAAAATGGTGTCGTAAGTAATTTTGGGGAAGGGTTTGATGTAACTTCAAACGGTCATAGAGACCGGTCATAAATTGAGAGTACATGTATAAGCCATTCTTGACTTTAAGGCTAGAACCCATGTTTTGTTTCTATTACACTTTTTCTGAGGAACCCTAGTTAATCTCTGTTACTAAAGTATCCTTGTCTGATAGCCATTTGGCTTACTGGCTGCCTTACTAAACTTATAAAAGATACTTATTCCTGGGGTCAGGAATTCCTTGACTTTGGACTGGGCAAGTGCTTTGACTCTTAAGCACTTTGAAGCCACATTATTTTGAGGATATTAGTTTGAAGACATATTATTTCTTTCTTTACAGAAATGGAGATAAAACCATCCACTTTCGTAATGGGCAAAAGGAGATCCAAACTGCTGGATCTAAAAGAAGAGAGTACCCTGATGGTACTATAAAGACTGTGTATGCTAATGGCCAGTGGGAAACCAAGAACATTACCAAACAGCTCCAAATGCAGAATGACAAGGAAGCGCTTATTCTAGATGAATGACTCATTCCCCTAAATGGCGGCCTTACAACCCTGCTGTTTGCAAGGGTCCGAAAGCTTCTGCCAGCGTTAAAATTCAAAATGTAAGTGATACAAATAGAATACGGATTGCTGCAAATTAACGTAAACAGTGACATAATCAGCATTTTTTTAAAAAAAGAAAACACCTTATAGTGATGTTCAATATGAATTTATTTTTGAAAGATTGGTGGGAAAAAAATGGATGCTCCCATCTGCCTGAAGTGGAAAGGAATTCCGGAATCATAGCAAAAGCCTGCAGACTCTATTAGCTTTTGTTTGAGCTGTGAAGAGTTGTGAGGAAGAATCAAGAACCTCTATACTGTAACTCTAATCATACAAGTAATATGGTATATTCTAAATGAAGCAGCATGGTGCCCTCGAGGTGGAGCTCTCCCCTCACAAGCTGGAGGCTGTGAGTTCGATCCTAGGTAGCGGCAGATATTTCTCTCTTTGGGCACAATGAATCTGCTGTGAACTCTGCAGAGGCATCAGGAAGGGCATCCATCTGTAAACACTCAGCTCCAGTCATTTGCCCCAAGTCCACTCCAATGCAAGGGATTACAGGGTCATTAAAAGAAAAAAAACCCCAGTATATTCTAATTAATCTGTCACAACGACTTCTAGCATGTGAAACACATTGTGGTGATGTCGGAAATATGACACAGATACAATAACGTCATCACACATAGCTGTATCCAGAGGTTTGATGGAAATCCATAAACTGTAGTGTTTTGGGTGAAGGTGTTGCAAATCTTTTGTCATTTGTTGCACTCCTATGTGGATCATCATAATTTTTATCATGCAAGTTTGAATGCCTGTACTCATCTATAGCCTTTTGTATGTGGCAAAGGAAAATGTTTTTCTTTTTTAATGTAAACTATTTTTTCTAAAATATCACCAGTTGTGAGCTGATCAAGGTTATCTTCCCAAGATCTGAGTTTTGAGATTTCTGTCATTAGCTGAGCCATTATTTGTTAAGCCAGGGTTTGTTGAATTAGTCATAACTGACTGGATTCTCACAACATGCCAAGCCATAAACAGTGATTTACAAATCACAATGAGATCAAGCTAAAATACATACTATATTGTTGTGTGCAACCAGGCCAGAACATACAACTTTCAGCCAGGGAGGCTGAGGCAATGCCTCTTAAAACTTGTGAAAAGGCAGCAATAAGAATAGATGTTTCTGGAGCTAGAAGGGCTAGTAGTTAGGTGGAAATGACTACACACACACCAATCAAGTAGTTGCTGAATGAAAAGCTGTTTTGTATGCAACAGGAAGTAAAAGTCATCCTTGATTTACTGTTCTGACCTAGGCTTCCTTAGATAGCATACAACACAATCTTAGTCCCGGCAAACCTCTTTTATTCATACGTCTGTGAATTATTGTCATTCCCAGTCCGAAAGGCTTCTCAAACAGTCTCTCAGGGGAGTGTTCACAAACACCCACCTTGGAATACTGCCAGAGGACTAATTGCCACATGTAGGGCAAGGCCAAACTTAGCACAGAGTCAAACAGAACTTTCCCAAAGCTTTTACCGACCAGCATCCCTGGGTCTTTCAATTGCCATTTGCGACCTTCCCAGCCAGCTTCCGATGAGCAAAATCAATGGGGGAAGTTGAACTCACCTAATAATTTCATGATTCACTTAACACTTGCTGGGATTCACTTAATCGTGGCAAAAAAAAAAGTATAATCAGGCACAACTGACTTACCAACTGCTTTGCCTAGCAATGGAAATTCTGTCCTGGTGGTGTTATACATCAAGGTCGGTCTATAGTTTTTATCCTCCCCTCTTTCCATAAGGGAGGGGCTGAGTTGGCAGAGTTCTATTCAGGAAATTATGTAGTATACTGGAGCTTCCTAGAAATTTACAAGTAAATAGGATGTCAGCCCTGGAGGCCATCTTTTTCTTGAATTCTTCAGGGCTGCCACATTTAGTGCTGTGGGAAACTGGGAGGGGGGGATTGCATGGAATTGCAGCAGTGGTGGGTTTCAACCGGTATTACCACTGGTTTGCTTCATGCATGCTTTGCTCGCCCACACACCAAAATTGCGCTCTGCGCAAGAAAGTATATTAAGGAACAGCTGAGATGCGGCAATCTTCAGGAGTGCATATCCATAATATTTTTTCAGCTGTGTGAAGAAATTCAGGTACTAAAATGTGTAAATTTCAAGAGCTCTGTGTCCGAGTCTCCCTGTCACTCAACTGTCTTTTTATTTGTTTCCCTGGTTTCCCTGGTATACATATTTTTCCCAGTTGGTGATTTTTAGAAGTGTTGGAGTACAATGTGTATTATCTCTGTTTCCATGGCTAAGAATCAGTGGTTTGTAGTCCAAGTCATATAGAGAGTGCTGAGTTTGGTAAGGCTCACCTGGTGTCACATCTTGTGTTTGGATCCTGTGTGGGTCCTTCAATGACAGGATGAATATGTGGATCAGCATATCTATGTTAGACCACAGAAAAGACTTCTGAATTTTTGACATGTTCATGGGAAACAGGCTATTTGACCTTCTTTTTTCACTTTTGTAATTTTGATGCTAAACTTGAATGCAAAAAAATATGTTAGTACAGCTGATACATTACTTGTTTGTATTGTTTACTGATTCAAATGCCATAATCTGAATAAATTGGTTAATATTTTATCTCTTTTGTTTCCATTATTTATATAAATATAGTAATATTTTGAAGGAGATCATTGCAAATTTCCCAACATTTGCACTTATATTGAGAAGAGAATTGTTTCAAAGCAGGGGTGAAATCCAGCAGGTCTGACAGGTTCTGGAGAACCGGTAGCAGAAATTTTGAGTAATTCGGAAAACCAGTAGCAGAAATTTTGAGTAGTTCAGAGAACTGGCAAATGCCACCTCTGGCTGGCCTCAGAATGGGGTGGGAATGGGGATTTTACAGTATCCTTCGCCACGCCCACCAAGCTACGCCCACCAAGCCACACCCACAGAACCGGTAGTAAAAAAATTTGGATTTCACCACTGTTTCAAAGGAAGAAAAAGGGAAGAAAATTTGGAAGTGCATAGGAGAGACTTCCAAAATTTCTCTCCTGCTGGATGTGTTGGATTCTACTGATTTTATTTTCTGAGATAGATAGGCCCTGGTCTGGAACATCTGATGGGCACCACGTTGAGGAAGTCTAGTATAGGAATGACACACATTATATTTTTGTCATCAGCTTTCAAGCTCTTTAATCAAAAAGAATATAGAATTGCTCAAACCATTTGTCTACTCGTTAACTAAAGCTTTATTTAATTTTTGAGGTTCTGGTTGTAATTCTTTACTCATTAATTTATGGATTTCCTGTATTACACTTTTGACATTCATTCCATTCTTCGATGCTTCAAGTGCTGCATCATTGAAAGGAAATATAAGGATAAAATCACCTACACGGGGGAATGGACGTCTGTCTTTATCTGAGAGAAAATAAGGAGGAATAGTTGGCTTGTGGGTGTAGAACTCTAGTGAGTTAAACCAATGTGTGGACTGCACAGACTCACATAGCGAATGACTAGTTCTTAGCATCTGTCTGCTTTTGGATAATGGCGTTTGCGGCATGTGCATCTTTTCACGTAATTGTGAGGTCAACGTTTTACGAGGGGATGCACTAGCTGTTCTGCCATAGGTGGCTGTTCTTTTATTGATCTGCAAACACGATGGAGAAGGGGAAGTTGTTGCTGATTTGATTCCTTTCCCACAAGCCAGGAAATCCAGTGGGACCTCTGACTGGGTTGTCAGCATATATTGCGATCGGCTGAAGCACGAAACCCTCCGATTGTTCCCTCTGCTTTTTCTTAGAGTATCAGCTTCCTTGTAGTTCAGCAAGTCGACAATGTCATGGAGCAGCTTCCTTTTGACAATGACATCACTGGTACAGTCTAAACGCAGGCCTGGGCTGTGGTTTACTTCTAGAAGCCAGGGTTTCATTTTCTCATCAACCAAAATGTCAAACCCGAAGAGCTCAAAGCAGTTGGAAGTGAATGGTACCGAAGTGGTGATGGCCAGCAAAGTTAGAATGACTATATGGTTGATTCTTTTCCACAGGAGTAGGTCATCAAAATTGCAGCTCCGTAAATAGGCCCGAAATCTGCTAAAAGTCCATTTGCATCCAGAGCCAATGACTTCTTTGTCCTTTCTGTATGATGGTCCAAACTTGTTGATGCTTGAGTTTGTCAAGTGAGCGTAAATGTTGTCAAGGGAACTAAGGTCAAACTTCTCTGTTGCAAACCTCACCAGTCCTTCTTCGTATACATAAATTGTAAGGGGGTAAAAGCTTGTAACGCAAACATAAATACGGAGGTCCCATTTGTATCCAGAAATAAGCAAAGGGTTACTGATATACTTTTGCACAATTACCATGCAGTCATAAACAAAATCCTTAATGTCTTGAAAAATGAGGATGCCTCTCCCGCGAGACCTGTCAACTGGCTTACAGATCCAGTAACTCAGTTTTTTTCCTGGTATTTGCCTCTCCTTGGAATACTCAGTTATAAATTTTATATAGTCATTGGGCATGATGAAAGCCACTGGACTGAACTCATAAAGGGTGGTTCCATAAATTCCCTTCATGCGTTTCAGATGTCTTGCCAAATAATCTTTCCGAGTGATTCTGATGGTTTCTGGATGGTGATTGAGCCTCTGCCATGGTTTGATGTTCTGGTGTTCTGTCATCCGGAAAGGGCAATTCCTCCAGTACAAGTTCCAGTCTTCGTTATCTTGCTCATGCTCATCGTATTCAATCCAACCACGTTCCAATAAAATTTCACGAACTAGTGAAGGTACGCTAGCGTGGAGCCGGAATACTAGTGCCTTGGTGGTGCCTCCAGGCTCAACTTGTTTTGCTGTTGTGGAACTCTTACTTTCTAAAAAAAATTAATAGAGGCAAATAGTAGGGCAGAAACAATTCATTCAATTGATGTGAATGATGATATCACAAAAGAAATGCTATTGCTATCTATTGCTAGCTCATATTTTCTAGGCCAGGGGTCTGCCATCTTGGCAACGTTAAGACTTGTGGACTTCAACTCCCAGAATTCCTCAGCTGGCTGAGAGTTAAAAGTCCACAAGTCTTGAAAATTGCCAAGTTTGGAGCCCCTGTTCTAGGCTAAAAAAAAAAATTAGATGCTCTATAAACTAATCTCGGGACAAGTTCTTTCAATCCAGATAGTATAAAAATAACCTGTATCTTTAACATTAAGTGGGAATATAGGAAACAATTTGACAATCTTCTTTGGGAATAAGGGCTCTGAAACTGGAACAAATTGTGAACAACTTAAGTCTACGTTTTGTTCTTAAACTCTGATTTTTCCCCCCAGCCTAATCGGGTTTAATTGGATAATTGAAACATGAGACATATTTATAAACCAGATCACTTGTTCAGATTCCTCTCCTAGCTGTCTGTGCCGAAAGGAAGTCCAAATATCTTACTGTTGTTACAATGTAAGAGCTCTATTAATTGAAATCCAAAGAATACCTTGTCCAAACATTCTAATATATAGTCAGCATTCAATATAGTCAGCCAAATGCCTACAAACAGGATATTTTCTTTTATGTACACTGAGAGCATATGCACCATATTCTATTCTATATGTATTCATTAGGGCCATTCTGTTAATATTCCCCAGAGGCTAGTATTAAGAGGCCCACTACTCCTAGTCCTGTTAAGTATCATATGCCTATCATGACCAGCAACCATGAATAATAATGATAACTTTTGATTTAAGAATCTGAATCACAAGCTCTACTTGTCTTCATCAAGTTTGTAATTCCGTGCTTCACACTGATATACAGGCAGTCCTCGCTTAATGACCACAATTCGGATTGACAATTCCATTGCTAAGCAACATGATTCTTAAATGAGACACCACATGGCTGCAATTTTTATTGTACTGCCAGCTTTTCCATTGACTCTGTAGGAAGCCAGATCATGAAATCATGAGGACACTGTGGCAGTTTTAAGTGTGAGGTCCTGTGGTAAAGTTACCTTTTCAATATTCTTGCAATTTCAGATAGTTGCTAAACAGTTGCTCATTAAGTGAAGACTACTTGTACCTATATTATTGTTCAGAGAACACTTTTCTTAACTAAATGCTATTTCTGTATTTCGAATAATGGTTCCTATTGACTAGTTCATTAAAAGCAATCTTTTTTTTTTTTGGCCATAATTTCCCAGCCTTGTATCCTATAAATTTATTTGACTCCGTGTCCGTAATTCCCAGCCGTACTTAACTGGAATTTGGGATTAGCTACATTGAGAACTAAAGTTTTCCTGGGCATGAATATTGAACATGTCAATAATCACACCAATTCCCTTTTGGTAGCAAATGCAAAGCCAAGTGAAAGATAGACGAAGAAACCCAGAATTTAAATCTCCAGAGAATGTGGCTTCCTCTGTTGACAGAAAGCAACAAGCTGGGTAAAGTGGCTTCATCTTGGCTGACATGTCTAATACTTTAGTAGTTTTCTGCTGAGGTCAAGTTGAGAGTCTGCTAGTTATGGAAGCCCAATACAACTGGAAGGGAAGATTACAACAAGATAGGAAGATCTATACATTATATATTGCTATAATCTATCCTTGATTTAAACTGTAATCTGAGTCATAACTGTTACATCCAGTGATATTATCCGAAGTGTGAAGTTTGCTCTAAGGGTACACCTGTATTACACAGTGAAACAATAAATATTCTATTATTAAACTATTCCAGTAGTATTCCTGGTTGTCAGAGCATGTGCATCAGCCTACTGTAGGTTATCCAACAGCAAAACAAACATCTCTACCAGTTTTTACATTTGCTCTTGGAATCCTCATGGTTTAAAGTGCTTGCAACTGATCCTTGCGTATTTACTCAAATCACATGCATGTTCAGCTGAGTTCATATTTGTAAGAATTCCTATGTAAGCCTAGAATTGTAACTTTAGGATAAGGTGTCTGCAGGCTGATTGGCCTCTTTCAGTCATATCTGCCAGAGCTACGTTAGCTCATGATGACTCTGCTCAACTAAAACAAATCCATTTATATGTATAGTATCTAGGCCAGTTTTCCTGTTACTATATAGGTAATCCTTGCTTGATCACCATTCCTTTAGCAACTGTTTGAAGTTACAACAGTGCTGAATTAGGAAACTTATGGCCAGTCCTTGCCTTGTGGCAACAGCATCACAACCATTACAATATTTGCAGCGTCTTGCTGTTATGGGAACACCATTTGTGAATTTTCATTACTGGCTTCCAACAGCAAAATCAATAGGGAAGACAGCAAGAATTTGCCAATGGCAACTGCATGACATTTTGTCTAACTCAGGGGTGTCAAACTCAGGTCACGGCGGTGTCAGGTGACATATCAGGACTTTTTCCTCCTTTGCTAAACTGGCCATGGGTGTGGTCAGCATGAGATGCATCCAGCCTGCGGGTTGGGAGTTTGACAGCCCTGGTCTAACCACTCATGAGATTCACCTAACAACCCACAACTGAAGCTGCAGTGACATCACACTTTATGACCATGCTGCTTAACAACAGATTTGCTGATCTCAATTACTGTTGTTAACTGAGGATTACCTGTCCATCTACATTAGATACAAAACAGATGCTCTGTCTATAGCAGGGGTGGGCAACTGTGGCCCTTTTATAACCTGTGGACTTCAACTCCCAGAATTCCTGAGACAGCCAAGCTGTCTCAGGAATTCTGGGAGTTGAAGTCCACAGGTTGTAAAAGGGCCACAGTTGCCCACCCTGGTCTATAGGCATAACTTATGTGTATTTGTGTCAAATTTGACAGAAATGAAATGTTTAAAACTAAAGAAATCAAAAATACCTTTCCCTGGGCTTCTTGGTTCAGCAGGATTTTCAGTACTGTAAAAGTAAAAGTAAATGATTATCTGTTAATATCTGATAGTAAAAAAACGTGTAACATATTCAGATCAGCCTAGTAAATGGGAAATGACCTGGTATTTTATGGGGACTGAAAGAGCTTTATATCTAGTAGAGATATCTCTCTATTGTATCTCTGCTCTGAAGGTAGCAAACATCAAATCATAAAAAACAAAAACAACTTTATTAACAGCAATAATTAATTGACTGATTATCTGCCATTAAATAGTTTTCAACTCCCAAGGAGTACATGGATAGATTTTCTCCACGAACAACAATAGTACAAAAAATCATTATAAAATTAATGAAAGTTCATAAATAACACAGCAATTCTAGACAGAGTAGAATTTATTTAGCAATTACTCCACTCTTTGGAATTCACTTAATTCTATTTGAGGTTACTAGATCAACCTGGTATATTTTCAGTCGCTGCGGAGAAGGTGATTTTTAAAAATCTCACTGTGGCCAGTAAGCAGAGTTTGGCATTCACATTTCTTACATTTCTGTTCTGGATTTCCCACATCACATTGGTAGTTCTGACAATGTGGTTACAAAGTCCTCTATGCCGATCATTAATGCTTTCACTTGTATTAAGTCTTGTTTTGCTTTGCCCTTTCCTGATCTTCTCCATCTAAATTTAGATTTGTAAATTCCTTGGAGGGAAAAATACTGTCTTTTACTTAAGTCATGCCATAACCTCTTTTACTGACAGCAGGAGATGAAATGACCATTTCATTACAGGGCTGCTGACTTCTTTTATTGATCCTTATTTCTTCACCCTGTGAAACTTTCACCCTTAAACTCTTTTTCATCTGATAGTTTCTGTAGTGAAATCAATGTCACTGGAGGGAAAAGAAGCAGATTAAGTTATATTTCTCTGAGGAATTGGAAAGACTCTACCATCACTATCACCAACAAAAATGTAGTTTTCAGAAATAGTTCTACATTTACAAACAACCATGAGGATTGGACAGCTTAGTGATAACCAGATCTTTCTTATCCATTTTCTCTTTCTTTCTTTCTTTCTTTCTTTTCTTTCTTTCTTTCTTTCTTTCTTTCTTTCTTTCTTTCTTTCTTTCTTTCTTTCCTTCCTTCCTCTATCCATCCATCCATCCATCCATCCATCCATCCATCTCTGTCTATCTGTCTGTCTATCTGTCTATCCGTCCATCCGTCCATCTCTATATCTATATCTATATCTATATCTATATCTATATCTATATCTATCTATATCTATATCTATATCTATATCTATATCTATCTATCTATCTATCTATCTATCTATCTATCTATCTATCATCTATCTATCTATCTATCAATCATCATTTCTGTTTTCTAAGAAATTATTAGATGGCTAAATATAAGCATTTTAGCTAGGAGACAATTATCTGTAAGAAAACATTGCAAACCATATTTCTTCCGTAGCTGTGCAAATTTTTTCTTTTCCATGGCTGGAATCTTCCTTTTCCCAGAGTGTCATCTTGACCATCTCATGCCAATTTGAAGCTTTCTTTCTTCCATTCTAATTGCCCACCTTTTGAGGAAAATCCACCTTTTGAATGTATTGTTTACAAGTTCCCAATCGCCATAGAAACTCATGATGTGGCTCAGGTTGCCCATTCCAACATTCTGTTTCCTTGTTCTTTTGTTCTTCTCTACAGAATATTCAGTGATAGTCCAATATCACTCACTGGATGATTGCCAAATCTCTATTATCTGTTTCTGACATACAGTTGTGTAGAGTGGACAACAAACACTGTATCATATTTGATTCCCACAGAGATTTGAACAAAAGATGAAATCAAAATATCTGTTGCACATTTGTTTTCCTTGTGGTTCTCTTTGCATTTAATTAAGCTGCTATACTTAAGAAAGAGCCGTGGTGGAGCAGTGATTAAAATATGGTATTGCATTCTAACTCTGCTCACACTGCCAAGAGTTCGATTCCCTCAATCTTGACCAGCTGAAGGTTGTCTCAGCCTTCCATCCTTCCAAGGTCAGTAAAATGAGGACCCAGATTGTTGGGGACAATATGCTGACTCTGTACACCACTTAGAGAGTGCTGTAAACCATATACCTGTGAAGCGGTATATAAGTCTAAGTGCAATTGCTATATTGTAATGCAGAATCTTTGATGCTGTGGGGTCTAGCATTTGAAATAATTGTTTATTAGCTGTAAACTTTAAGGTAAGCTGCAGTTTTAATTCCTTTGTTATTGTAGAAAGTCAGCACCCACCCCCCAGAAGAATGAAACATTTTGGGAAATATTAAAAAGGCAGAATATTATATTTCCCTAATGGAGAAACATAGTTGTTTTTTTTTAGAGGCGGGAAGCAGCTCCAGTCTCCTTGCCCCCAAGCAGAAACTTTTAGAAATGCAGATTTGGTAATCCATTCAAGACAGGATGCTTTGAAACTCCCTGCAGCAAAGTCCGAATAAATGCAGAATGGTAGGATTAGAAGCAGCCCCCTCACTCAAGATCCAAAACAGGACAAAGCCATTAAGCCACAATAGGAATTGCCCAACACTCTTTCAGAACACAAGCCATTTCATTGCACTATCCCAGAGCAGTCCAAACTTCACCTAGGAGCTCAGATAAACAATAAACCAGAGGCTGACCAGATTAGCTCAGACAAACACCTAGGATTTGCATTTTCTCTTTTGCCTATACAGCCAGCTATAACCCCTACATAACCACTACACGACCCCATAGGAATCTGACAATAGCCAATAGAACACATGTTCTTGCACAGGAACAGGAAGCTCAAGTGTAAAGCCTAAATGTAGGTATAAAAAACTCTCCCTTCAACTCCATTTTGTCAGCTGCACCAGAACCATAAGTGGTGGTGGTTCTGTTTATCATTAAACCATCTTTTCATCAGCCTCTATGTTTCCAGTGTCTTTCTTCCAGCTTGGAACTGAACCAGATGTCAGGGTTCCAAGTAACACCCCCAACGAAATAGATTCTGAGGCTCGAACTTCCTCGAAGTTCCATTTTATTAGAGATGTTATATTGGCACATCTGGGAAAACCCAAATCTGAAAGCTTCCAAGTTTTTCCACCCATAGAAAAGTCCAAGTCCCTGCCCAGCACCCACATGTCCATCACATGGCCCAATCAATGCACCACCCCAACTGGAGAAGCCTCCCAGGCACACCCCTCCAGGTACAGGGCAATATGTCCTTGACACTCAGAGAGTGGAATGTTGTTATGACTATATATTTCCCTTGCTCCGTACAATCCCCCCTCCCAGTTTCCCACAGCACTAAATGTAGCAGGACTGAAGAGCCAATGCAAAGATGGCTTCCAGACCTGATACCAGATGGATATTTCTTCCAACATTATATTTATTTAGCCTTTCGTGCTATAAGAGCATAATTTGTTGTCCAGGAATTCCCTATACATGGATAACTTCATTGCCATAGCTTCTTGATCTTGGACTGGAAGGCTTTCTTGTAAAAGATACCTTCTAGCAGATCTGTCATCTGGCAATCTTTCAAACATAAGCCAGTCCTCTGGGAAGTTGGTAAATCCTCGTGCTCCCAAACTTGCCTCCAGCAATCTAATTTCTAATTTGGGTTTTGCTTTTTTTGAGGGGGGGGGGTTTACCCATTTTATTCCTATTGCTCTCAGCTCAGTTTCTCTTCTGGAAGTGAGCTAAGATCTATAGTTCTTTGGGAGTGGAAGGTTCACATACCTTTCTCCTTGGGTGAGTTTGGATGATAGTGCCGGTGCTCTTGGGGCATAGCAATTATCCTCATGGTCTTCAACACAACCCATCTGTCCAGCCTTGACTCAGGGAAAAGGCATCATCTAAATTTGCATCTCTACTTTGGTTGACTTTTTAAAATTCAGATGAAAATTCAGAAGCTATCGAAATAAGCATTAATAGCTGCTTCTTACCTGCATCTTTCATGGAGCAAATAAATCACAAAGATTCAAACAGTTGCCTAGCAATGTGAAACAGATCTTAGAAACACAAGCAAATATTGCCATCGTCACAAAAACCTTCAGTTACCCCTTTCTTTTCTTTAGCGCATTTACTTCCCTGTCTCAAGCAGGATCAGAGAGATCATAGATGATCAATTACTTTGTCAGCTCTTGTTCTTGCTGGACCCATGCAAAGTTCATCAGTTAAGTTTTCTTAACAAGAGTAGAAACAAGAGCAGAGATATTTGCAGCCATTAAATGCCTAGAAGGATTGCTGCAGAAGTTGATTAAAAAAAATGTTATTTTATTCTTACTTCTCTTTGGTATATTAATAGTAAAAAACCTTTTTGGCTTTTTCAGTTTTAAAAAGAATTCATGGTAATTTGCAATTTCATAATGTTACTGTTTGATTTAGACCATATCATTTGTTATTCCCGATAGATATATTCTGCATTTTTTAAGAGTCACTTTAGGGAATCAAAGATTAAAAAAGGGGGGGGGGAAATGCAGAAGTTGCTAAAGCACATCTCCCAGATTAAGTGACATTCGTATAGGCAGTCCTTGATTTACAACAATTCATTTAGTGTCCATTCAAAGTTACAAAGGCAATGAAAAAATGACTTATGGCCATTTTTCACACTTATGACCATTGCAGCATCCCTACATTTATATGAACAAAATACAGAACGAAAAAAGAATAATAATTAGGAAATCCTACCAACTTCTTAATTATCTTCAAAGGGAGCTCAGATCGTGTCTCTCTGCTGCGCTCCATTTTCCCCTGTTCCACACCTTGAAGGCACTCAATTGGCCAGAGTGGTTCAGCCAATAGAAACTAACTTCAGCAGTTCATTGGCTGTTTGGCGAGGAAGGACCTCCCCCACCCCAGTTTCAACTGGGCAAATGCTTCTTACGCACTGTGATCATTTCTATGCTTCCTTTTGCCGGGATCTATGAAATAGTGTAGTTTTTATTTTTAATTTTAATTTTTAAAATAGTGCAATAGACAAAAAAAGTCACTAGCAGAGAAAAAGGGTAGAGATTATACAATTAAAAAAAGAAAAGAAAGTCTAGGAATATTTTCTTGATTCTGAAAAAAAAAACACTTAAAAAAAAAGGTAAAATGAAAATCAGTGCTATATTTTTTCCACTATTTATCTTTGCTCCAGGAATTCAGGTGGCCTACACAGGACTCCATCCTCTGATTTGTTCCCCATTACAACCATCCTGTGAAGTAGGTTAGGCTCAGTCTATACAAGGAAAGTTCATAATACTGCACAGTCTTATCACAAAAGAAGAATAAAAAAACCCTATGCGCATTGTTATAGCAGTGCCTTGAGCCTTCTCATGGCCATCATTCAGGCCCTGCTCTGTTGTCCAGTAAATATCCTTATGCAAGCTTTGATTTAGAACCTTTTCTACATAGATTTCCTTAATTAGAGATTGGTTGACTGAGCATCTTGCTGTGATGTGATTGGCTCCTGGTTAGCAGTGTGAGGTGTTCTAGAAGACACCTTGGATTCCAGGTATTCGACTGCTCCATATAAGACCATTGCCACAATCAGTAGAGTTACCAGAATATACAGTTTGATGGAGATGCTTAAGAAGGTGCTGTAGCCAAAGGCTATGACAAAGCCCAATGACTCCCACAGGCGGTAATTTGCAAAGGCTGCCTCTTTGTGCTTCTCAAATAAAATTCCATAGAGAGCTATAAAAAATAAATGAGAGAATGATATCAGATAACCATTACGACATCAGCTCAGATTTATGTCTTTTTAAACAACAGTTGTCACCTATTTCAAACAAAGGTGATTCTGCATTAAAATCTTTTATTATACCTTTCCTTTAGTATCAAGTATTCGCAGGGCACTCTGTTATAGATTGGGATACCTTTTATGGCTGCAGGGAAGCAGTGTCCTGATCACATCAAACCAGGGATGAAATCCAGCAGGTTCTGACAGATTCTGGAGAACCGGTAGCGGAAATTTTGAGTAGTTTGGAGAACCGGCAAATACCACCTATGGCTGGCCCCAGAGTGGGGTGGGAATGGAGATTTTGCAATATCCTTCCCCCCAGGAGTGGGGAGGGAATGGGGATTTTGCAGTGGGGTTGGAATAAAGGTTTTGCAGTATCCTTCCCCTGCCACGCCCACAGAACCGGTAGTAAAAGAATTTGGATTTCACCACTGCATCAAATCCTTTGGCTCCCATATCTCTGCTCTGAATGGCAAAACTTCATTGAGGCTTTTCTCTTTTTTAGACAGAGAAGTGGGTTTGCCCTCATTTGCTGCTTGAGATATTTTTAGCTTTGCAAATTTAAATGCAGCGCACACATATTCTGAACAAATGTTATCGGGAATGAATGAGGCTGAATCCTGCATTTCTTTAGGTGTGCTTTAGGGGGAGCTCTTGATTAGTAGTAGCTCCCAACTCTAAAAGACAGCTTGCTTCGGTTCTGAATGCTGATGAATTTTTGACCATTCTCCTTAAAATGTAATGATCCTTTCGTGAGAGAACTGGGCCAAGGCTCAGCATATAGCTTGGAGTAGTATATAGATAGTTCTTGCTTACTGACCATTCATTCAACAACTGTTTGAAGTGATGACAACGCTGAAAAAAGAGACTTATGACTGGTCCTCAAAGCTGTGGCTGTTACAGCATCCCTATGATCATGTGATTGTGATTTGGGCACTTTGCAATTGGTGTGAATTTAAGATACTCGCAGTGCCCTGTGAACATGTGATTGCCATTTGTGACATTCACAGCTGACTTCAGAAAAAGCAGAGCCAATGAAGACCCAGTTATGTGATGTTGCACTTAATTACCTGCGGTAGTTTGCTTAATGACCACAACTAGAACTGACAGTATAAGTCATCTCAGTCTACTATTTAACTACTCTGTGAAAGAAAAAAAAAGAACTTCTGAGCATACAAGGAGAGTATACAGGGTCTTTTATAGAGACTACAGGAACAGACATTAGATTCTTCAGGGGGTATGCAGCTTTTATAACACCAGTGCCCAATGAATAGTACTTAGCATGAACTCATGTAACCATTAGATAATTTAGATCAGTGTTTTGCTTTGCTTTGCTGGCTGAGGAATTCTGGGAGTTGAAGTCTACAGGTCTTAAAGTTGCCAAGGTTGGAGACCCCTGATTTATGTGATGATTTGGAGCAGTGATATATAATTTGCCATTGTCTTCTTCAGAGCTTCACCTTACTTTTACAAAAATTCTGTCCAACCTATAATTCTGGGAATCCCAGGCAATTCCCCTCTAATTATTCATCGGAGTTAATCTTGCTTAGCTTCTGAGATCAGCTAAGGATACTATTTGTCAATGTGAATGATAAAAATAAATCTTCACCCATAACTTTCAAATGGATTGTAAAAAAACAACCAACAGATATAAAATAGGCTGTTATGTTACATTATGATAGTTTAACAATGATCTTTCTTAATTGTCCTGTTCTTACCATCTCCTTTTGTAGTGTTAGTTTAGTAATTTGAGCTTACCATTTCTCGGAATTGAAAAGGCAAGCAGAAACACACAAAGATCTTTGAATGAAACCTAAACAAGTCTGGTTGCGGGGTGGTACAGAACTTCAAGGTGGCAAACAGTAAAAAAACACCTCCTTCAAAGGGTCTTACTAAGGTTGACTGATGCCAGGCCGCTCCCTGGCAGTGAAATTCTAGAGGGAGTATGCAGAATATGTTGCCTTCTAAGATAAATGTATTAAGTGTTGCTAAGTTTTAACAATCCTCAGGGATCAAATAATTTTATGGGTTTGGAATGAAGTTTACTCCGTTCATTATTTTAAAGGGAACTGATGTATCCAAAACTCTGACTATCGGGGTGCTATTCAGCAGGTTCTGACAGGTTCTGGAGAACCGATAGCAGAAATGTTGAGTAGTTTGGAGAACGGCAAATACCACCTCTGGCTGGCCCCAGAGTGGGGTGGGAATGGGGATTTTGCACTATCCTGCCCCTGCCACGCCCACCAAGCCACGCCCACCAAGCCACACCATGTCCAACAAGCCACGCCCACATAACCGGTAGTAAAACAATTTGAATTCTACCATTGCTGACTATCGAAACTGCAATACAAAATCCTTCAGGTTTTTCCCTTTTCAGAATTTTACAATGTATTTTCTTCCTGTGTTGGGGGTGGGGGGGAGCATGCTTTGTAAAAAGCATTGCATTAAAAGGCACGTATTAAGGAAAAATGCAACTACATATATGTTCAAGAAATTGTATACATTTTTACGGACACAGAAATGTAGGTGGATCTTCCTGCAGTTTTTAAAAAATTCATCAGATTGGCATAGAAATAGAGCGTGATCATTGTGCACAGAAGGACAGGCCTAAATGGCCATCCACGAACAGAACATAGTTCAATCCAACAGTTCATGCTGAGGAGGCCCTTTCCAGCAAGGCTAATACAGTTGCTGATATTATCTCCTTTGCATAAAGCCTACAATCCTATTTCATCTTTCTGCTGGCCTTCTCTCACTATAAATGCTTACCGTTGGTTAGTGTTTGCAAGATAGCATCTGCTACACCCCAGATGGCAGGTATTATAAAAAATAGGGCAAGTTGGTTTGAGTGAGGTTTCCAGAGCAATAGCGCTATTATGCAGCTGAGATAGAGAATGGCACCTGTTGGACGAAGCAAAGATCATGAGAAAACAGTAAAGAACATTCCAATTCACAGTTTATGAATTTAAGAACTGCTTGGCTTCGTAGGACCCAATATGCACCTTACCTATAACTTCCTTTCTAGCACCCAGTAAACTCTGGAAGAAAGAAGCAGGATTGGTCCAGACAAGGAAAAAATGAAGGTAGCGTTTCTCAACCTTAGAAATTATATTTTCTATTGCCACAAAGGACAGGACTAAAACCAGTGGGTTAAAATGAAGGAAGGTGGTTTAGATTAGACATTAGGAAGAATCTCGTGATTGTATGAAGTGTTAGGCAGTGGAAAAGGCTGCCACATTATGTGGGAAGTTCTCATTTGCTAAAGGTTTCCCACAGAATGTGGATGATCATCTACTAGATATACTGCAGGGCAGTGGTGTCAAACTCGCGGCCCACGGGACGGATGTGTCATGCGCTGGCCATACCCCTACCCCCGGTTTAGCGGAGGGGGGAAAAAGTTGCAATACGTCACATGACAACAACATCACATCGCGAGTTTGACACCCTTGCTGTAGGGAATCTTGCACTGAGTCAAATGCTGGTCTGCATGACCTCTAAGGTCTCTTCCTCTCTATGGTTCTATGGAACAAGTACTCCATATATCACCTGACCTCTCTCATTCAGGCAGCCTTTTCCCAAGCTGCCACATTAGCCTCTAAAAAGATGCTGCTGCTGTAATATGCCTTTAAAGCAGCAGCCTCCTTTTTCCAAGGCTATTCCAATGGATAGCAAAATAGTCACATTTATGTAAGGTCTAAAGGAATTCTTCCAAAACATTTTCAAAGTATGCACAGCCCTAAGACCATTTTTTTGTAATATATATATATATATATATGAATACATTATAAAAAGAGTACCAGAATTGATGATATGAGGTCAGGTACTGAAATTAATAAGCTGGATCAAAATTTCATGAAGCCCATAGATCAGGTGATTTCTAGAACACCTTCTCCAAGTTGGAAACCTTCAGCTCCTTTACCTACAGATGGTTTTCTGAGAACTCTTGGAATTATAGTGAATTATAATTCTGGTACCCTTGGAGAATTTTTCAATAAAGTTACTGATTTAGAAAATATATTTATATAACTATTGGGACAGTTGCTTTGTTATCTTGCTAGTGATGGGAAGTTCCCTAGATTGACTATGTACTTGAGCAATTGCTTAACTTGTATCCAGGGGTGGGCTGCTGGGGGTTCGCAGGGGTTCAGGAGAATCTCTAGCTAAGATTCTTTACAGTTTGGAGAACCCCAAAATCCCACTCCTGGCTGGCCTCGCCCAGCCCGCCTCTCCCAGGAGTCCCCACATGGCCCGTTTTGGATGCAGGTAAGTGCAGGGTGTGCGTGGAGGCTTGGGAAGGGCCTATAGGAAGTTTGGGAAGGCTGGAAATGGACCATTTCCAGCTTCCAGAGGCCTCCAGAACCTGGGGAGGCCATTTTCGCCCTCCTGGAGGCTCAAAGAAAGCCTCTGTAGCCTGGGGAGGACAAAATGCCACCCCACCATGATGCAGGAGGCCAACTAGGCCACGCCCACCATGGCCATGCCTACCCAGCAACCAGGCAGAGAACCCCTTGCTAAAATTTTTGAAGCCCACCCCTGCTGTATCCTATTCCTCAAAGCTCAAGTCAAATCCACTTAGGCCATTACAGTATGCAAGCACCCAGTTAGCTTTTACCTACTCAATGTAAAAAGAAGCTTTCTACCGGTGAACTGGTAAATCTTGCCAAACAGCAGGGAGGCGAGTGAGTTTGTAGCTGAAAAGCAGATCATCACATACCCAACGAAGTTTATCCCAAGCGCACAGGTCACATAGGACTAGAAAGAAAGCGAGAAAGAGAGAAGTGCCCACAGTTATTTTATTATACAGAGCAGCAGCTTCAATTTTCTTGTTTGCAGTTAAAGGTCTGATGAGTGCTTCAGAGTGTAGGTGTTGAATATTCATGCAACACTTACATGATCAATAAAGCACTATTCTCTGTCTCGCTATAAGCCTCTAAATGCAGAGTGCCGTTGCTGTGCAATATGGGTAGACAACTAGGACTTTGATCAGTTACTGCAGCTGTTCTTAAACACAAAAACAAGTGAAAACTGGACCTGGAGTTGAAAAGACACAACCTACTCATCCTCAAAGTAGTATCCTCCAGGTGTGTTGTAATTGCTTGATACCTATCCCTTTGGTTTCCGCCTGTTCTAGTAATCTAATAGAAGTAACATGTTCAGGGTCTCCTTGATGAAACAAGGTCATCTCGGAGGTTCTGGGAAGTGTACGGCAGGCCTGCCTTACGGAAGAGCCTCCCCTGGACAGACCCACCCCTTTCGGCCTTCTGGAAGGTTGTAAAGGCTTGGCTTTTCCCCCAGCATTGGAACTGGATACTAATGGAACTCTGGCATTTGTATGTGTAACATGTTGACGATGAGTTTTTTTTTAATAGGTGCCTCAACTTGTTTTTTTTTAATTGTTCTATATTATGTTTTAATATTTGTTCAGTACTCAGAATTCCACCGGTGGGCATATAAATGTAATAATAATAAAAAAAACCCACCAGTCATTTCAACACATTGGAATTCTTAGCAAAGATGGAATTCTTTGGACATATTGATGAGGAATTTTGAAAGTTTTAATTCTGATGCAACTGGAATATAAAAACCTGGCTATGCTCCTGAGCTTGGAGCATTACGTGCGCCAAGGGTTCTGCCTCCTCGCTATATTGTTAATGGGACAGATGTCTCGTTTTTGTATGTACTCAAACGTTTTAATAGCTTTTATTGTTTTAACATTTTTTATTGTTGTTATTGTTTTATGATGTTTTTTCAAATTTTAATTGTAATATATGTTTTGAATTGTGAGCTGGTCAGAGTTGTTTGCTGAGATGAGCAGCTATAGAAATCAAAGGAATGAATGAATGAATGAATGAATCAGTCTGCCTGTCTGTCTCTCTGTCTCTGTCTCTGTCTCTGTCTCTGTCTCTGTCTCTGTCTCTGTCTCTATCTATCTATCTATCTATCCATCCATCCATCCATCCATCCATCCATCCATCCATCCATCCATCCATCTATCTATCTATCTATCTATCTATCTATCTATCTATCTATCTATCATCTACCTACCTACCTACTCTTTGAGTAAGCTACTTTGATGAAGTGGTTTATAAATTAACAGTTTTTACTGTGTACAGAAACAAAAACTATGCCTAGAAAATAGTTCTCCTAGAAGACCTTGCTACGTACACTTGTGCGTCTTTAATCCCAATACAATTCCCAACTGATTGCATTGTTTCTTTTTAAAATATTTCCAAGAATTAGAGCCAAAGGAAATGTACAGATGACTACATCTGGTGGCCCATCATTTATATGAGTTTTCTAGTCCCTTGAGAGGGAGTCTACACTGGGTACTCTGTGGTGAGATTCTTTGGTGAACTTCTGCTCCTTCTGCATTTTTTCACTTAGCACCTGAAATAGATTAGATAAACCTATATTTTATAACCCACCTTATTATAGTCACTAGCCAGGAATCCCTGCTCAAGTCCACTATACATAGTCAAAGGTATCAAGAGACACTGGCGTTTATCTTTAAGACGTTGAAATGTTTCCAGAAAAGTGGATCTAAAGGATGACACGGGCTTTTCTTCACTCTCTGCTTGATTGGTTGAGATTTGATCCAGAAATATAATCACTAGCAACACAGCTAGAATCTCACTAGCTGAGAAAGAAAAGGAAATAGTTGAACAAACAAAATCAACAGAGTACATTGTTGTGTTTGGAAAAATTGGTGTTTAATGATAAAGTCATATTTCTTGGTTTATTAAGTGCTACTAATTTAAATTAGCAATATTAAAAATGTCTTACTTTAACCCAAAGCAAAATACTTTTTGGGCATCCGTTTTGCACAATTCTTTTTGCTCAGCTGTGACGTTTGTGTTATGACAGCAGCAAGGAAAAAAACAACCCCACAATCTGCTGTTGCATAAAACATTTGTTACCATTCCAGGTCAAATCAAAGGCTTTACTGAGATTAGCATGAATATGGTATCACACATCTGTCAATATTGCTTCTGCTCCAGATGAGCATATGTTCTGAGCCATTTCCTTGCAATGATAGTATTTTCTGAATTACATGTGAAGGGACATTATACTGAAAGTGGAAATGTTAATTTTTATTATATTATATTGATGGAAGCTGAAATAAATTCAATCCAATCAAATGAATTGAATATAGAATTGAAATGATCTACAAAATATTCAGAATTTGGTAAGATTTACCGTTTTTCTGTTCATATTTTGAATGGAAAATGTTACCTTCAAAGCATATCATGTCAAAGCATAACTTTTTGATCCCTAATATTTGAAATTTGAAAATATTCGGCTCAGTGATTTGGGGGTGTAGCTTCTCCCTTGACACAGGCTGTGGATCTCACAACATAGGAATAAAAATACCCAAATCCATGCTGCATTAACTACAGTTGAATTGAATCATATTGTATGCCAACCAAGAAATGGCGTTAACACTTAATAATTATATATTAGTGGTTTTCAAACTGTTTGCTGAGGAACAGAGCTTATCCAGGATTCACCAGGAAGATCAACCATTTTGAATAACCTCCTGGAAATTCACATCAATATTTTAGTTTAGTTGCAATAAACACCGAGGTGAGAAGTTGACTTTGGTTTGTATTATATTCTTTATCAAAACCTAATGGAATCTGTGCACAGCTGTCCCTTGTAGTGAGCCACTGAGAAGCAAAGGTGGGAATGTCTCACTGAAATGTTCTGAAATTCCAGATTAACTCTGTGTACCATTTTTGGTTAGCCAATCCTCTTAGACTTGAAAAAAATACAAGAGGACTTCATATTGCAATTAAACTATCATACATTTTCCTATACCCTATGGATATTCTTTTTGAACTTCTGGTTTTCCAGCATTCTTCCAACTTGTTCTAATTACTAACTTAGAACATAAAATAATAGAGTTGGAAGAGACTTCAGAGGTCTTCTAGTCCAACCCCCTGCTCGAGCAGGGGATCCTATACTATTTCAGATAAATGCTTGGACTTGGCCTATAGCTTTTACTTATAGACTTGGTCTATAGCAGGGGTGAAATCCAGCAGGTTCTGACAGTTTCTGGAGAACTGGTAGTGGAAATTTTGAGTAGTTTGGAGAACCGGCAAATACCACCTCTGGCTGGCCCCAGAGTGGGGTGGGAATGGAGATTTTGCAATATCCTTCCCCCAGGAGTGGGGAGAGCATGGGGATTTTGCAGTATCCTTTCCTGGAGTGCGGAGGGAATGGAGATTTCGCAGTATCCTTCCTTTGCCACACTCATCAAGCCACACCCACAGAACCGGTAGTAAAAAAATTTGGATTTCACCACTGGTCTATAGCTTTTAATTCTCATATTCTGATTCAATTCAGATAGATTCCTACACCTCATGACTTCGATCCTGAGTGAAGGAGAAATCTAGAAAAGCCTTGTATGCTATGAACACAGACACCACAAAAAATGATCCAATACTTTCTGCAATGTTCCTAAGAACATTTCAAGGACAGACAAGAAACAATGGATTTAAATTAAAAGGGAGATGTTTTTGATTGGGTTAGGGGGAAAAAACCCTCCCTAAAAATAAAAGGTCTTCTTATAAGGGAATGGATGGCTTTGAGAGATGGCGGACTCTCCTTCACTAAAGCATTTAAACAGAAACTAGACAGCCATTTGATGTCAGGGAGGCTTTAAGAGTAGATTCTTTCTCTGGTCTGGAGTATTCTCTAATATCCTGTTCAAATCTTATATGTAGGGATTCTATATATATGTAAGATGTCACTTTTCTCATTTTAATATTTAATTTTAGTATGTAAAATATATGAATAATTTGTAAATCCTTTTTAAAGCTTAGGGGATCCTATTGTAAACCTCCCAATTTTTCTTATTTGACTTTGGTCAATTAATGATTTTCCATATATTGAAGTTCAGCGCCATTGATCCTCATCGCTGGTCAACCTTGATCTCTATTTGAGGGTTTTCAGAAGAGAATAGATTTATGCTCTATGTCCGTGATGGTGAACCTATGCCACGCGTGCCACAGGTGGCACGCAGAGCCATACCAGTGGGCACGCGAGCTCAGCTCCGGCGTGCATGTGCACACTGGCCAGCTGATTTTCGGGCCTTCTGGGCCCATCAGAAGTTGGGAAACAGGCTGTTTCCTGCCTCCAGAGGGCCTGGGGGTGTATGGGGAAGGCCCATTTTTCTCTCTCCCCAGGCTCCAGAGGCTTTCTAGAAGCCTGGGGAGGGCGAAAATGGCCTTCCCCATACACCTGGAGGCCTTCCAGAGGCCAGAAACGGCCCGTTGGCCAACTTCCTAGAAAGCCTCTGGAGCTTGGGAAGAGCAAAAAATGGGCCTACTGGGCCCACCATGCCATCACGTGCCAAAAGTAGGGGGAGTGCAGGGGGGTGTCACATGCGCATGCATAGGTGGTGGGGCGCATAGAATTATGGGTGTGGGTGGGCACGCCCATGGCCCCCCCACCTCGTTCCCCCCACTTTTGGCACACGATGGCAAAAAGGTTAGCCATCACTGCTCTATGCCATTCTGAACTATCTCACAATTAAGAACTCAACATTTGATATATTAATTTATTCATTTAAATCTTGTCATGATGGAGCTCAAGGCATGAAAAGCAAATTTCTTAGATCAGGGATGTCAAACTCAAGGTCTGCAGGCCAGATTCGGCCCACGGGATACTTAGATCTGGCCGGCAAGGCCACCCTGGAAACAGCGAAGGATCGGCCCGTGGTACCTTTGCCAGCAAAAATGGGCTCCCGTGCTCCATTTTCGGCTGCGACGGCCTCCTGCAACCCTCTGCCAGCGAAAATGGAGCTCTGAGCTCCGTTTTCTCTGGCAGAGTGTTGCCGGAGGCAATTGCAGCTGAAAATGGAGCTTGGGAGCCTGTTTTTGCCGGCAGAGTGCTTGGGCCACCACAGGTACCCCTGACACGAATGATGTCAAACTGGCCATGCCCACCCTGGCCACACCCACCCTAGCTCCCCAAGGTCAAACACAACCCTGATGTGGCCCGCAATGAAATCGAGTTGACACCCCTGTCCTAGATAATCTCCCATCAAAGCACTACCTAAACCAAGAACCTAGCTTTAGTAAAGTCCAGCATTATATAACTTTAAAATGTGCTCTAATACATTACACATACAAATTATTCACACTTTCCTTCATCAGATGCCAAAGATGCCTGAGAGAGCTTACCTGTGTAGATTCCCATCAAAGTATAGATCAAAGTATTAGATGGTCCTTTTGACGTCACAGTCCTATTTGTGGTGTTTACCATGCAGCTGCCTATACCACAGCACTCCAGATCTGCTTCTGTGAGATTCGCTAATACATTAAAAACATAAAAAGGAAACAGGGATTTATTAATGGTCACCATTAAAAATGAATGGTGTATATGCAAATGAAGGCCAAATATACAATCCACTTGTGATTCTCTGTCATCAGTTTTCAAGCTTTATTTCAAGGAAATTTAAAGTCCCTTGGTGGTCTTATTTCTAATCCAAGCAATATCCGTAGGGTCTATGATATTCTCTGAGTTTTTTCATTCATTCATTCATTCATTCATTCATTCATTCATTCATTCATTCATTCATTCGATTTCTATAGCCACCCATCTCAGTCAATGACTCTGGGTGGCTTACAATTCAAAAAAGTATATTGCAATTAAAAATACTAAAAACATTTTAAAACATCCAGATTAAATATATATAGAAGAAAGATATTTGGTCTATTAGTAATACAGCCTGGAAATGGGGCCATTGGCACCCTGAGCACCCCAGGCAGGAGAACATAGCCAGGTTTTCAGGTCCTTATGAAAGGCTTAGAGGGTTGGGGGCAGAGGTGGGTTTCAAAAATTTTTACTACCGGTTCTGTGGCCATGGCTTGGTGGGCATGGCATGGCTTGGTGGGCGTGGCTTGGTGGGCATGGCAGGGGAAGGCTACTGCAAAATCCCCATTTCCTCCCGATCAGCTGGAACTTGGGAGGCAGAGAATAGATGGGGGAGGGGCCAGTCAGAATTTTTACTACCAGTTCTCTGAACTACTCAAAATTTCCGCTACCGGTTCTCCAGAACTGATCAGAACCTACTGAAACCCACCTCTGCTTGGGGGCCATTCTAATCCTCTGTACACTCTGTTATAAAAAAATAAATTCCTAAGTGGTCTTTCTTGTGCATTCCTGCTGCAAAGTCCTTCTCTCTAAATTACTTTCCGTGGTCCAGAAGTTCAAGCAATTATACCAAGAATTTGCTAATGGGTTAATGCACATGATAAAATAGAACAATTATTTGTGATTTCCCCCAAATAACTGTGCCTTTGAGATGAATATGACCTTTTGAAACATTTCAAGAGTACCACTAACAGTTTCTGATTTGTTCCTAATAGTAATGTTTGGTCAATCAAGGAATTTTATCCATTATGGATACAACTTTGTAAAATTGCTCATTATCAATGATTTTAATTAGTAACATTCAATCCCAAACAATTTCTTAGAAGAACTGACTACTGTTCTAGTCCATCTAGCCTCTATTATCCTTTCATTAAAGGATTAAATCAAACTTAAAATAAAAACAATTAAAACATAGAATATAAATCCATAGGGGATTCTTTAGTGTAAATGCTAGAAACATTATTCGTTAGAGTCACCTTGGTACTTTGTCAGATGATTAGTAAAACGAGTGCAAAATTGCATGGGATTATCTAATATACTATAAAATTGGGCATGACTCACTAACAACTCCTTAGCTTAGAATGGAAGTTCTGATCCTAGTTTGTGGAAGTTTGTGGTCGTAAGTCGAGGACTATATGCATATTAATCTATCCCTAGTAGGCACAACATCTCAAGTAGATGTGATGTGGATCAGAGGTGGCATTCAGCAGGTTCTGACCAGTTCTGGATAACTGGTAGCGGAAATTTTGAGTAGTTCGGAGAACCAATAAATATCACCTCTGACTGGCCCTGCCCCCATCTATTCTCTGCCTCCCAAGTCCCAGTTGATCAGGAGGAAATGGGGATTTTGCAGTATCCTTCCCCTGGAGTGGGGAGGGAATGGAAATTTTACAGTATTCTTCCCCTGCCATGCCCACCAAGCCACGCCCACCAAGCCACGTCATGCCCACCAAGCCACAGCCACAGAACCAGTAGTAAAAAAATTTGAAACCCACCACTGGTCTATTTAAACATAATTACCTTTATTAGGAGTCTGGCCAAAGACCAGAGATGCTATTAGATTCCCCCAGACTCCAGAGGATCGGTATATCAAAAAGAAGATTCCAAAATACTGGGTAACTATATGTTTTCCAATTTTGCCCACTTTCTGAGCATATAAATTGCCGGCCACGGTAAGATAAGTGCACTTGGCTGACCAGAGGGGAGCTGCTCCCAGCCCTAAGATCACAGATGTGGGGATGAGTGTGAACCTGCCAAAAACACGTAATTTGGTTACTTTTATGAAACAAAACATAATCCCAAAATACTTATCATTCTACTGAGTTTCAGAGAAATTTATTATTTGTACTCCCTCTGCAAGAACAAAAACAGAATGCAAGGGAGGCAAATCATGATTCATATGTTTTGTCATCTTCACTCTCATGCCAAATCCTTACACAGTTGCATAAGAAGTCATGACACAAGTATAGAATTAAAGCATCACCAACAGAACTTCAAATTGCATCTTTGCAATGTTGGCACCAGAAACTCAAGTGATGTCCACCCACTATTTGCCAAGTATAACAGGATTGTTTCTGGGTAGGGTTTCCACAGTGCATTAATAAAATCAAAACTAGGCCTGTGTAAAGAATTTTACGTGCAACGACGCTGTGAAGCTGCAGCTGTGTAGAATGAAACAATACGGTAAATTTGTTCAGATGGACTCCTTACCATTCCTATTTAAAATTTATTTCCTAAATTTATAAGGTCAGTTTGGTGTATTGATGAAGGCATCAGGCTCAAAACTAGAAGATGATTTGCTTTAGGCACAAACCCAGCCATGTGACTTTTGCCCAGTCACTTCTTCTTAGCCCTAGAAAAGTAGGCAATGGCAAACCACTTCCCAAAAACTTTGTCAAGAAAACTGCAGGCAGTTGCTAGCAGTCAAAAACTGACTTGAAGGCACACAAACGCACACGTTTGTACGCCCTCCCTCATTTCTGAGAGTTCAAGGCAGTTTACAGAATTAGGTCTCTCTTCTTCTTTTTACCCCCATGACAACAGTCCTTTGAAATAGGATGGGCTGAGAGAAAATTGTTAGTTATAATTCTGGAATGTCCACATCAGTGGTGGGATTCAAATTTTTTTTTACTACCAGTTCTGTGGGTGTGGCTTGGTGGGCGTGGCATGGCTTGGTGGGCGTGGCAGGGGAAGGATATTGTAAAATCTCCATTCCCACCCCACTCCAAGGGAAGGTTACTGCAAAATCCCCAATTCCTCCTGATCAGCTGGGACTCGGGAGGCAGAGAATAGATGGGGGCAGGGACAGTCAGAGGTGATATTTACTGGTTCTCTGAACTACTCAAAATTTCCGCTACCAGTTCTCCAGAACTGGTCAGAACCTGCTGAATGCCACCTCTGATCCACATCACATCTACTTGAGATGTTGTGCCTACTAGGGATAGATTAATATGCATATAGTCCTCGACTTACGACCTCAAACTTCCACAAACTAGGATCAGAACTTCCATTGCTAAGCTAAGCAGTTGTTAGTGAGTCATGCCCAATTTTATAAACTTTTTTTTTGCTGTGGATATTAAGTGAATCACCATGATCATTAAATGAATTGGGCAGTCATTAAGTGAAATCCATCTTCCCCTGTTGACTGCTTGTTGGAAGCTAGCTGGGAAGGTCATAAATGGGTAATCCTGTGGCTCTGGGATGCTGCAGCTATGATCAATACATGTCAGCTGCCAAGCATAGAAATTTTGATCACATGACCATGGGGACATTGTGAAGATTGTATAGTGAATGCAAGACCTGGTTGCAAGTTACTTTTTTCAGCACTGTCATGCCTTTGAACAATCATTAAATGAATAGTTGTAAATCAAGGACTATCTCTATTTATAAGAACACATAAAATAAGTCCTCATAATGTGAGAATAAATGACTTTTAGAAAGTTTAACGGTCAAAGTACAACTTATTTATTGCTGTGTAAAGGTACCATGTTTTTTATCATGTGATACTCTTGATTCTTTTGTACTCACTAGAGGTTGGTGGAAATTAAAGTACATGGGTTACATAGCATTGCCCAGGCTAAGGCCCTATGGCTACGTTGTCGGGGTGTCTCCTCCCAAACTTCCACTGCTAATCTGGCCAACTTTCTGGATGGAGATTCAAGGAATCTCCAGGATGGTCTATTGCTGGAAGTTTTCAAGACAAGATTGGATAACCATTTTCTTGGGATAATATAAGGGCCCTATGATTCTATGAGACATCATGGGGTTGGAGAGGATACCAGGCTGATCAAATGTTAGCTAAACTTCTCTTTCCCTATCCTTTTCTTTCGAAATGTAATTATAACTCCAGTCGTTAGATGGTGCCTTTACTGGCTTCTGCTTGGTTTCACTTGGCTCAGGCTTTGTTTCCTAAAGGAGATGTAAGTGGTTGCCTCAGCTACAAAAGCAGTTGCTATACACTCTCCAGCGTATCTGTTTATTTGTTCTGCTCTTTTGTTCATGTTCTAATAGCTCATGAAAAAGGCTGCGTGTGAGTGGCTGTTTTGTTTTGATGAGAAATCTTTCATTGACATGTCAGAGGTGGACTGGTTAAAAAAAAAAGACAAAGACAAAAACTAAACCATAAACCAGAGATCAGCAAAACCATCTTAACCATCTGTAGAATGGTCTAGAGCAGAGGTCTTCAAACTTGGCAGCTTTAAGACTTGTGGACTTCAACTCCCAGAATTCTCCAGTCAGTCCACAAGTCTTAAAGCTGCCAAGTTTGAAGACCTCTGGTCTAGAGCAACAGCTGCAGTTTTACAGATGGAAATTGTGGCATAAATCCTACCCATATGGCTATCTATCAAACCCCAAATTAGTAAGACTATTTGAGATCTGCTTCTCCCAGTGTCTTACTTTAAGTACATCTGAAAATGATCTCAGTGTGGGTGAAGAAATGCTCAAAGCTAAGTGAGGCAGAAGAAACACACCACAAATCTGATCTTTTCTTTCTTTTCTCCTGTATCTATATCCAATAAACTTATATCTAATTCACAAGTTTAGTATACATTGACATATATATTTCTAGACATTCGTTATCATTTTGATACCATATCAAACTGGTATCATTTCAAGGCCTGACCTCATCTCAAATATTTAAATTTAATATATAAATTTAATAAATAAATAAATAAATAAATAAATAAATAGTAATAATAATAATAATAATAATAATAATAATAATAATAATAATAATAATAATTTTTAAAAAAGCTCTCTCTTACCTTATCTTCATCTTAGGGAGCCTAAGACCCCAATTTAATTCTTTACAAACTCACATACAAAGTTGGGTTTTGGCTCTGTTCATTTGCAGATCTTGGCATATTATAAAGAACTTAGTTCTCACCTTCAAGTCAATAAAAGTTGCACACCTCTTCTATAGATATTCCTCTGTTCTCTTTCCCAGCTGTTGTCTGCTGATTCCTCAAGTATCAGTAATGTTTTTAGCCTCATTAAAAACATTTACTTGTCCCCTATCAAATCCTAAAGTGATTTTCAGTCTTAAGATTTGTGAAGCCCAAACCATCTAATGAACAATATCCACCTATTTACTATACATTTTTCCATTTAGTTGGATTCAATTAGATCTTTCATGGTGGTAGCCCCCTATAGATCAGTCAACCAGAAATTATAGTATATCTGTCCCTCCAAATGTGTAGGAACAGAGCAGGCAGGTGGAGGGGCATGGAGTTAAGTATGTCATAAGTTTGGAGTCCTTGCATTCTCACAAGCATTCCAAATTCAACCCCTCCTGAATTCTGTTGACCCTTATCTGGTGCCAATTTATTGTTGAACTTTAGTTGACCAAATACTCTATTTTATGCTGCAACCTTACGAATGGTCCTGAATTTTTGTGTCTGACAAAATGCATTGCAAATGTTATAGGAATTAGGAAATACTTATTACCAGCTGGCATAGAAGTTTCCCAAGGAGAATGTAATGTAGCAGCACATAGAACCTACAATGGTCCATTTGCATCCAAATTTCTTAATGATGACGGATGGGAGAAACATGGAGGACAGGATGAGAGTAGCATAGATCACACTCAGGGAGGCAACTCCCAGGCCTTCTTCAGAGTGGAGGCTGCTCTGTACATACAGACAAAATGCAACGGAGGCACATATTTATAGCAAGCACAATAATATATGGGGGACAATGATTTAATAGTAAAAGAGGAAGAGACAGTTAAGCCAGAGAAGTTTGGCAATGAAACTATGATATCAAACACATATGACAAATGCATTGTCATTACAAAATGCTGCATGTGCTTACTGTGTCCTGACCTCTGAAGAAATCAGAGCATTTGGGTGATGATATCATCACACACATTTCATCAAGCCTCCCTACCAGTGGTGGGTTGCTACCAGTTCGCCCTGGATCGGGCAAACTGGTAGCGGCGGTGGCAGGAGGCTCCACCCACCTGCCCAGACGCTTCTGCACACATGAGCGAACTGGTAGCAAACTAAATTGAAACCCACTACTGCTCCCTACTCCCATGGGTGCCCATAAATTAAGCTCCTCTCTTAGGGCGCTCAGATTCATCAGTCTTTATTGCATAGACCAATGAAAATACTGTGTGTCTCTTGCTTTAGAAAGGAACCAGATTGACCAAGCCATCAATTGCCAATTAAAGACCAATTAAAGGGCTAATGATTATCCAAAGCTACTCCAGCCTGAGAAAGTTAGGTGGTACATTTTGCAGAGGGAACAAACAGTTAAGAGGGTGCATGGCCCACAGCTGCATAACGGACAGAGAAAGTGACTTCTTTGTAGTTTCTTTCAGAGGCTGTAAAGGAGATGGCAGGGGTTTTGTACTTTCAGAATTGCAAGGATTTGAATCTCTGAAAGTAATCTTACACTAAGGAAGTATTAACACATCTGATCGTGTTTCCTGTCTGGTCTACCTGGGATGATTGACAGTCCATCATCATAGTTCATAGTTCATAGTCATGAAAGGACAGCAGGCTATTGGGAATGAATATTGCTGAAAGGAGAGAGATGCTGAGATTTTCTGCTCTCATACAACAACAACAAAAAACATTTTGGCACATCACCAGGATCACTGCCCTTATCTTGAGGCACTTACGATATATTTCAATTTGGGGGTTAAAACTTTCCTCCATTATGCAATCTCACCTCATCTGTTTGAAAACAATGGCATTTTGCCTCTGAAAATCAGATTTTCCCCACAGCAGCATAAAGAACATTAAAATTGCAAAGAATAGTTTTAATAGCAATTTTAAAAAGACATAATAAAATAAACAAGCATCCACCATAGTGCATTAAATACACCATGCAATATGTATTTAATATAATAGGTGTTATACATCACACATACACACATGCATGTGTACATATAAATGTACATGATCAGGAAAGAATGAAAGCAGAGAAATGTGAAAAGCAAAAGAGGGAGAGAGAGGGAGTGTACAATTCATTATCTGCATATATTGGAATGAACAGTGCACAACAGGATCTCATAGATCCAAATAAAGTTCACCTACCTGAAGGTTTTGGAGTCCTCCATAAGCAGTAAAGAGAAATGTGAATCCAAATGAAATCACAAGAATGTTTTTCAGATATGAGTCCATAGCTGAGTCATAGAAGTTCCCAGTGGAGAAACCTGGCTTTCCTTCACCTTTAACATAAAGGAGTCATGTTAGCTACATGAATACCTGCCCATGAACGTTTCCTTCTTCAGCTTTGAAAATGCTACCGGTCTGGTAGCAATGGTAAGAAACGGTACCAGTTAACTTGATTTGAAATATTGATTGGGTTCCACCAAAGGGGTACAACATTTGCATGATGTCTTCCCTTACACCCAATTTTGTAAATCATTTCTAGCCACAAGGCAACTTTTGAAACAGATCTCCCTTCCTTGCCCACTCACACTGAAGGAGAAATATATTTTAAGAAACAGGTGGGTGAGATAGAGTTTTAGCTTACCATTCCATTGGAAAGGTCACTTGGAAAGCTGTAGCACTTTTACTATTCTCCAAAATATTGTCCCTCAAACTACTTTCTTTCAGATATGTTGGAGTCCAATTCCCGTCACACCCAGCCAGGATACAAGTAATTGGACTCCAAGATATTAGATATCTCTGTGACACTCATGTGCTGTACGCGCTTAAAAAAGAGAATGTACGTGCAACAAGCCAAATTAAACCGTTCTGCATAGAACGAGAAGCTGAGAGTTCAACAAATGTACTGTAGAGTAGAAATGAAGAAACCAAGGGGCAGAGTACAGATACAAAGCAGCACCAAGAACACATCAATTTAATAATGAATAAATAAATAAACAAACAATAAAATCATCCCAAACCATAAGAAAAGTCTAGGCAAATATGAAAAACTCAAGACAGAGGTCTTTCTGCCTCCAGGAATAGTTTCTGTTTAGCTGCAAGCTATGATTGAATACAAGAAGATAATTTATAAATCATGGTTTGCAAACAATCGCGCATATAATTTCAGTTAGAATCATTTTTTTTGCCTCAGCATGCCTCTCAAAGCCTCAGGTGTCAGTGGATCCAGCTAGCTTATTCATTTTCCTTTGCAGGGGCTGACTTTTCCAACTTCTTGTGAGTGAATCTTTCCAAAGGAATGTGCTGCCTCTTTACTGTAAGAATTTGTCAAGGCTGAAAAGTTTTTTTTAAAAAAAAATTGTACCAAGCTCTGAGCGTACCTCAAAGGCCTGTGGTATGTCAGCCTTGACACCCTTTTAGTTTTTTCTGTCAGGGCACCTAAGATTAAACTGACTCCAAAAGAGCCCAGACAGTCTTTGCATTTCTGTCTCAGCTCTTATATTTGCAGGGAATTTCAAGAATGCACCCTTGAATACCTTCCTCACTACAGCAACGCAGGCCTGCCACAATAATTTGCTATAGAATGGACACTTCTAACAAACCAAGTAACACCTTTATGTAACTTTAAAAAGGAAAGAGCTCCATTTTTCCTTGAAGTTCCTAATGGGCTTCTTTGCATTTCTGTTTAGATAGTCGTACAACTTTAACAAGCATAACAGTTCAATATTTGGGGTGTATTATCAGCTACCCTAAAGCATGACTTTCATTCATCTCAAATGCCTTATATGGGAAAGTTCATGAAATTTTTCCTCAATACCATGATCACGCTCCTCCACTGCACTCAGCAGACTGTTTAAGTTTGCATAGCATGCTAAACCATCATGGTTTACAATCATAGTGGCTGCATTCATCTGTACCAAGAAAAAAACTAAACCATCTGCACCATGACTTAATATAAGGTATGAACTCAGTCTGATACGTTTGCAGCATTTGCAAAATATTGCATTGTGAATATAAGCATATCATTGATTACTAAGGTTATACAATGTTGAATATATTATTTGCTCAATATTATGTTGTTAACAATGCATTTTAATTGTAGTCTTTAACATTTAGGCTTTTTGTGATAGTTTTTTATCGTAAGCTATCCAGAATCAATCAATCTTTTATTGTGATCATAGACCAGAGTTAAAAATTAAAACATTAAAATAAACTAAAACAGAACAGGATATAATGTTATATTACAACAAATGGTGATATCATCAATAGGCTGCCAAACTCTGTCTGATTTTACAGACAGAATAGCTGAATTTAAGGAAACATTCAAGGAAACTGCATCATACTGCTCTGATAGTAGCAGCTGTACATAAAAGAGACCAGAATTTCCTAGATATTTTACAAAGTAAGGAGTTTTAAAATGAGTCCATGAATAGAGAGATCACCCAGAGTCACTTTATGTTGAGATGGGTGGATATATAAATGAGATTACTAAACAAATAAAAAATAATTAAATACAGGTAGTCCTCAATTTACAACCATTCCTTTAATGACCGTTCATAGTTACAACAGCACTGAAGAACGTGATTTAGGACTGGTTCTCACACCATTGCAGCATCCCCATGGTCATGTGATCAAATCTGGGTGCTTGGCAACTGGCATGCATTTATGAAGGTTGCACTGTTCAGGGTAATGTGATTGCCATTTGCCATCTTCCCAGCCAGCTTCTGACAAGCAAAGTCAGTGGGAGAAGCCAGTCTTGCTTAACAGCCGAATGCTTCACTTAACAACTGCAGTGATTTGCTGAACAACTGTGGCAAAAAAAAGTTCGTAAAAATGGGGCACGACTCATTTAGGAGCTGCTTTGCTTACTAACAGAAACGTTGGGCTCAGTTGTGGCTGTAAGTCAAGGACCACCTGTAAATCAGAGCGTTGTACCAACGCAAAGATTTGTATCTGACTCTAATATCAGGAGGTGAATGATGGCTTCTGAAGGAAAAACCATCTGCTTCTCACTTTTTCCCCTCTGGAGGGTCTTCACACCACCACACCTGCTCCCTACTTTCCTCCCATCATGCATTTTGTGTGAACTTCAGGCTTAGTATCTCAGTTCACATTGAAAAGTATGAACATTTTCTTTTGCGCCTGCACATTCATGCTTCTGCATCACTCCACAGAAAAGGAAACTGAAAGCTCCGTTCAGGTGCTATGTTTTTTTTTTTCTTTAATTTAACGACACTGAATCATATAAGATGTTGCATTTAGAGTAGAATTCAACCTGGACAGAATCCTTCTGTAAAAAGGCTCTCAGTTCCATCCTTCCAGAGCTGATTTTTTTCTTCACAGAAGGATCATTTCTTGTCCTTTTGACCCCTTGTGACATTTCCCCAAAAGATCTAACTCAGAAGCATTTGGGAGCCATCCAAACCAAGCCCTGCTGGGGGCAGTGTTTTTGATCTAAGGCAGAGGCCCCTGTGATAAGGGGGATCATTTCTCAACCACCCTCGAGAAAAGACTGGCTGCCCAGGACAACTCATGTCCCTGGAGCTCATGTGGAAAAAGGAGAAATTGAAACTGGGATCAAAACCATCTTATTCTTCTCACCTCCAATGTTAAGTTTGTTGCATGGATAGCTAATCTGCTGCAGTCTTTTCCCCCTCTCTCTTCCCTCCCATCCCTCCCTCTCTCCACTTTCAGCCTATCTAACAACTAACTATAAACCAATGTTTAATATGGAACATTTTATCCAGAGCTGGGCCACAATGATTCGTGCCAGCACTATTTAGATAATTGCATGCCTTGGCAAAGCAAAAGGATGTGAGGACCTTTCCACAGAGGAAAGTGGGAAGGCTGTGTTTCAGATGATTCCAGAGGTCAGAAAGAGATCAAGACATTGACTCATGCAACCCGTCCTTTACATGTCTTATTCACACAACCTTCAGCAGGCTCGTCACCATATTTATGTAGCAGTGGTGGGTTTCAAAAATTTCTACTACCGGTTCTGTGGGTGTGGCTTGGTGGGCATGGCATGGCTAGGTGGGCATGGCTTGGTGGGCGTGGCATGGGAAGGATACTGTAAAATCTCCATTCCCATCCCACTCCAGGGGAAGGATACTGTAAAATCTCCATTCCCATCCCACTCCAGGGGAAGGATACTGTAAAATCTCCATTCCCATTCCACTCCAGGGGAAGGTTACTGCAAAATCCCCATTTCCTCCCGATCAGCTGGGACTTAGGAGGCAGAGAATAGATGGGGGCGGGGCCAGTCAGAATTTTTACTACCGGTTCTCCGAACTACTTAAAATTTCCGCTACCGGTTCTCCAGAACTGGTCAGAACCTGCTGAAACCCACCTCTGATATGTAACACTTGTACCATGCAAAATGAGAGAACTATGATATCATTCAATAGCCATTGTCAGATTATGGTTTGGGAGACCGACAGCCAATTTTATTTTCCATTTTTGCAGATTCAGTCAGCTTAGTTCTCTGGTTGTCCAACTGAAACTGAAAGTTGCCACCTACCTACCCAGCCATATCTTGATTTATCTGGCCCATGAATAGCTCTTCTGTTCAAAAGAAAGCATCTTTCTCAATCCCTGCTAGATATGATTGATTGAATGTAGGAGACACCTTCCTGGAAAAGCAGGTCTTCCATTACTGTAGTAATCTATGGTATTAATAGATTACTATTTTAATTAATAATTAATTAATAATCTCATTAATCTCCCATTAATAATCTCTCATATGGGTGACTGATAACACCTTTTTTATACTATATGTACTTGTGGATAAACTGAGAATTTTAGGTACCAAAATATACCTCCTAAATTGAGTTTGGTTTATCTGCAAATAGGCTTATCCATGAGTATATATAGTAGATTTTCCCCTCAGCTTTTTAAAACTACCTGTATATCCTGAATATACTTGTGAATAAGCCCATCCACAGATTAACTGACCTTGAATTTATTTCCAAAATACCATGGGAAATGTGCCACCCGTGGATATGCCAATTGTAAATATATGAAATTTCAAAGGTCAGCTTATTTGTAGGTGGCACATTTTTCATGGTATTTTGGATAAAAAATTGAGAGTCAGCTTATCCGCCGATGGGCTTACATGTGAGTGTATACTGTACAACAATGCAACCAAAAAAAAAAACCTGAATGCTATAATTAGTTTCTTTAAATAGTCACAATTATCTTATATCTGCATCAAAAAATAGTTGAAATTATTGCACTCTTAACATTTTTCTTAATGCTATTGAACTGGTATACATACCACTTTTGTCTACAGTATTTAATGTACATTCTGAACTAATATCTTTCATATTTATCAATT